TAGCCCGGCACTGGCTAAACATCTTGCTTATCCAGAGTGCAATAAATAAACCACATATCAGTTTTAAATATCGGTGAAGTCTGAACATTTGTCCAGTGTCCATAATATTTTCCTAAGCAATTATCTGCCAATATCAATATGATTTTGGTATCATTGTGCTTCCCTAATTTAGTGTATCACTTAAATGTCAAACGTCTCCATGATTTAAATTGATCACTTTGGTACAATTCAGAATTATTTTTTATAACACACTAAATATAGGTGGAATATAGACAGTAAAAACGATATACCATATACACCAAGTTTTTCTTGGACTTTTACTTTTGATAATAGCTAAAAAATGTGTTTAGAATAAAATTGAATTTATTGAATTTTGGTGTAATTGATTAAAAAATTAATGCAATTGCATCAGTACCTTCAAAACGTTACATAATAGTTCATCAGAGCTTTGTTACACCCCTGATTGTTGTGCCTTTTCATTTTTAATAAGAGGATTGATGTACAGTAGAAAGAACAGGTATTAATATACGGTGGAAGGAGCATTGTTGTTGTGTTATTTTGTTCACTGCAGTCCAGGACAGCTGAGTTTACAGTAAAACCCTCAGGGATGACACACAAGACACAGTAGCTGACAGACTGAGAAGTGCATCAAAATAAGAGTGATTTGTTTTGATATTTATGATTCGCCATATAACTGCAGAATCAGCCGCCTTTTTCTCCCCAAATCAGAGAACGGATTGGATGTTTCCATGGAAACAGGGTAGAACGGCAACACCTCATTGGCGGTTGGCTAACACTCTCTCTTGGCTTCGTCTGAATTATTTCCCTCAAGGGACAGATCTCTTGAACAGATTACCCAGCCAGCTTTGCTGCAAAATAAAGCACAGTGGGAAGAGCAGGCGAGAAGAAAGTGTAAGATACGAGAGAAATCCCTGTTTCCGTCACGACAGTATGCCATAATTGTGACTCAGACGTAGCCAGGAGACAATTAAGATACAGAGCCGAGGGACACCACAGCCTGGTGCCCGAATGGTCATGAATTCAGTCTTTTAGATCAGGAGAAAAAAAACACATTAGATGAAAAGAAGGAGGCAGCTGTGTTTAAATCCCTGTGGATTGCCCCACAAGCCACATCCTCATCAAATTCTCCACTCTTTCTCTCCCTCATTTTCTTCTTTCCAATTCTGTCCAGAATAATTAATGTGCTCCAGGGCCTGCCATGAAATTCAGAATGTCTAGATAGACTGTACTGATGTGTCCTTATACGCCAGGCTGTATTATTTTGAATTATCGAACTGTTGCGTTGCCCTGCGTGGATAATGTCGTCATGCAAATACATTTGCGCTCTTCAGTATTGACAGTCAACTCATTTCAATGTACTGACACGAAATGGGATTCTGCAATGGTGACAATTCTCATTCCAAACCAACTGTGTTTTTATCATTGATCAGCATGCCTCATTTGGAATTGATTGATCGGGTCTTTACATAACCGAGCCTGTCCTTAAACGTACTTAAACAAAACCCAAACAGATGGCTGGTTCTGCACAGGCATTCATTTGCATGTGGTGGGACTGAGCGGTTGGGTAACCAGATGACCCTTTTTTAAAAGTAGCAGATATGCAAGGACACTCAGCCTGGAAAACAGAAGCTTCAGTGAATTTGTAAGTAAGTGTTTATTTAGCTATTGTGGTACTGAACGATGTATGTTCTACACCGGTATATGGTACTAGTGTCACATGAAAATATTGAATTTTAATTTTAGTGGTGTTGTTACATAACAAAACTTTTACAGTACTATACCAGAGCAGACCATCCTTCATTTATTTAATTTCTAATCAAAATGGTCTTTAAGTACTAGTTATTCATTTCTCTGGAGATATTTCTGAAGAGATTAGTTATAAGATAATCTACTTGCGTAAGGAAGAAGAAAGTTAAAGGAAAATTGTGGACAAAAAAAGCGACAAAATAAGCTTCTGTCAAGAAGCCGTTACTGAAAAAAGGAATAGAACAATGGACTGTCCACCTACAGTCCAGATTTCAACATCATTGAATGTGTTTGGGATTATTTGGATTGTAAGAAGCAGAAAACGCAACCAGCTTCTAAGACTGAACTTTAGAGATCTGAAGAAAAATTCTGCAGATTTCTTAAAAAAATGAAAGCAGATTTTCTGAAAAGAATAGAAGCTGTAATAAAGGTAAAAGGTGGACACATTAAATACTAAAAAAAGCTGAAAAAATGTGTTTAATTGTGTAGGTTTCTGTTTAATTTCTGTTAAATAAATGTTTTCTGCTTTTTTCTTATGTTGAAAATGAATAACTTGTACATGAGGGCTGTTTTGATTGGAAAAGAAATGAAGGCTGGTCTCTGACTTTGGCACAGAACTGTAGTTAATGGCAATGTATATGTCCTGTAATTTGTTGGGTGCTTCTGACTGTTTTGCAAAATACAAAAAGCTCAAAATACATAAAAACTAACTTAGTAGTATCTTTCGTTTCTGGTAATGTTTGTAAGACATTCTTTTTGCAGCCAGTACCAGCACTTAGAAAGTATTTATTAGTGCAGACAATATTATCTCATACCATGGTACCACAATATATTTAGAAAATATTATGATATTGAATTTCATCAAAAGACAGCATTGTTGGGAAATAAATAGTGATTAAAATTTATTAAAATTGCGTTGCTTGTGAAGACTCTACTAAGAGAGGAGGGAAGTGTTGGTGTCAGTTTTCCTCAGTGACTTCTTTGGCATGTTAGGTCTATAAATTATGCAAAGGAAATTTATTGAGTTTATTTAACAGGCCATGAAAATTCTACTGTTTTATCCCAGGACCAGCATTTAGCACAGGCAGTGTGAGAAGCTTTGTCTGAATTAATTTTCATTGAATTCCAGCCTGAGGCTTCTTTGCCGCACTGCCATTGCCAGCATCCCGAACACGGAGGTTCACTGTATGACCTCTGTGGAGCTGCTTTACTGCAGACACTCCCCCTGCACGGTTTGTGCAAGCCTTCACACAAATGGCTTAGATGTCTGAAGCTGAAGCCCACCTCCCCCACAGCAGCACTGCTGAAAGACAGCAGTGCACAACAAAGCCTGCTTTACTAATGTGGATTTCTGCATCAGGAAAGAGCACACAGTGTAACAACAGAGAGCAGAGACAAAGAAAAGAGAAAAAATGGTGGACATGCATGTAACAATGTATGCATGATGCATCATGATGAATTGATCTGAGTTTTAGACTTGATTATAATCAGTTATAATAATATTCAGTCCAGTATTAGCTAATTTTCTGACGAATAGTTCCTCGAATAGTTCCTCTGGTCACCTTTGTGTTTTCAGTGTATTAAAAATCAGTAGGTGAGACGTAGTTGCACTGCATAATTTGCTAAATAATCGTAATCCAATTGATATGTGTGGTGAGAGATTTACACCAGGACCGCTTCCTGCATTTTTGTCTCTCTTACAAAACATTACAAGCCAGCTCACAAATTCCTGAGAGGTGTACACAATAGAAATGGAGGAGAAACAGTAGGAAAGGGATAATGGCACTGCTGCCAGCAATCAGGAAGATGAGTCTGATCATAATAATAGAAATCTGTCAAGTGAAATGCATAGATTGCTCTAATTCTGACTGTTTCACTAATGCTGTGAGACAGTGTTGATATTTCAGTTTGCATCATTGCTCTGCAGATGTAAACTTCCTAAGTGTTGCCATGAATTGAAATCTTGATTGATTTTCTTCCTTTTCAATCATGAGCTTACCTACATTTTGCACCTGTTTTTGTGTATTTCATATAGATTGAAATACAGTTTCTATAAAGACTGTTCAGGCTACAGTGTGTTGTTATGCTCTATAAGTAGTTTAGCTGCTGTGGCTGCAAACAAGACTATGGAGAGTCTGAATCCAAGACAAAGCATGGAGTAGGGAAGTTGGCATTCAGTTTGACCCTAAATGGATCTGTTGTTCCGTCTGTACTGCTTAAAAGTGTAATATGATATGAATAACAGCTCCTAATGTAACGTGGTCATTAAGGACTCACTATTATAGACTTGCCGTTGTGGAATCCCTGTTTTTGTCAGTGTGCTCTCTAGACCGATGGTCAAACTGAATGGCTGCACAGGATGTGTATTCAGGCTTGGCCGAGTGAAAACATTAACGAAAACAGATATGAACTGAATTTGACAGATGATTACGTCTCTTTGTGCTTTCTGCCTCCATGCTAGCCATGGGGGCATAATTCAAGTGCGTAAGTCAAAGTATAACAGAGCATATTATTACCCAAGTATATGCCATTGTGTACGTTTTATTTCTCCTAGTGCCTTTACTTTAAAAACAGTGTAGGGCAGTCTAAAGTGAAACAGAAGGTCAGTGAACATGAAATGTGCTTTAGATTGGTGTTGCACAATGTTTTAAATGTAAGTTAAGTTCTTTTTCAGTACTACAATGGGGTAAACTTAGCACTTTCACATGATTTCAGTTCTTTATTTATATAAGGTAACACTACACTGACACTGTTTTCTGCCTTTAAATTCATCAGTTTGTACATGCTAATTTGACTTGAATAGGCCAAGGCAGGTTGATTTTCATATTTTAAAGAGTTTTATTGAGTAATATATTTGACTTTATGCTTCTAGAAACAATCAAAATGATAATCATTTTAGATTTGTTTTTATTGTTATATATATATATATTACTGGCTATATTTCATCTCATTTTTTATCTTTTCTTCAGAACATGTTGAATGGGCATGATATATTGAAAGAAGAAACATTTAGTCTCAGGAGGTTCAGATGATGACAATTTTTTAAAATCTGTTTTAGTATTATTTAGGTTGTGGTACTGCAACACTGCTATAAAAGTCAAAATCCCGGTATCTTAAGAGTAATATATGCAGAAAGATAACTGTGGGGGGGGGGGATTGGTCAGAAGATCTTCTGTGATGTTTTGTTGTAGGTTTTGAGACTTTTTTTGACAAACGCTCTCTGTCTATTCCAGGGACCCGATCTTGTAATGATGTCGAACTCGGTGGCCTCCTATGACCAGCTGGTGCGGCAGGTGGAAGATCTCCGCAAGGAGAACTCCCACCTGCGCCGTGAGCTGGAGGACAACTCGCACCACCTGTCCAAGCTGGAGAATGAGACCTCCGACATGAAGGTGAGGTTGGGCTTCAGAGGAGGTCCATAGATCAGATACATCCTGCCCATCACCACCTTGCCTTCCTTTGAAGTTTGAATTTTCTCACTTATATGTAAGAAAAATACTTCCAAATTTTGTTAACCCCTTGTTACATACTAAAGCTTGATGTTATTTGATATTAGGGATAGGTTTTGCCGAAATAATAATATTACAGTTTTCTTTTCCAAAACCATTGTTAAAAGCAAAAAACAACAGTCTTTAATATATTAAATTCAGTGATTCCCCTAGGTTTTTTTGGTCAGGTCAGGTGGTAGCTACCAGCCTCCGACTAACAGTACTGTCGTCATGAAAACATGTACAGGGCTGAAGCAGATATTTACAATGAACTTTACAAAAGTGCTACTGTGATGGACTAGGAGTTCATTTATAATCAGAATTTAAGTCCGATGGAACGCTTTACACTCCATAATGGGCAAAAGAATAATTTGCATATATTTATATGGAAATGTATAAGAATAGCGTTAATAGTTCATTAAACCAATACTAACTACTGTTTGAACTATTGTATCAATAAAAAGCCCAAATAGATCTGCTTTTGATTATTCAGACTTGAAGAATGCTGATTGTTTATGTCTGATTAATGTTTGAGTTTACAGAAAATCTGTTTCTATAAGGACCAAGAAGTCACCAGAACTTGCAGATGGACACCCGTCAAGCCAGCTTTTAAAAATCTAGGTGTTCTCAAAAATTATTTTGACAGAAAGAGTATTTATTCCCAGAAAGCCCTTAGTATGACTAGAAATTCATACTACCCACCACAACAGAAGTATAATCTCTGATACAGCACAGTATTATAAGGATTGTGACCATTTATTGACAGAAGACTGTACAAAACAAATTTCATATTTTATTAGACTGTGTTCTTTCTGATCTCAAAAGACAATCAGCTCTCCACTTTTGCTCTGTCTGGCAAGTAGAAAGTCACCATTGCGTGCATTCGCTTCAGCAGTGACCCACTTTCCACAAAATGTCTGGAGACACTAATGGGCAGTGGCCAGTACTCACAGTCTGAATGATGCCTGCGCTTAGAGCCAGTCTTAAATCACAGAACAGCTTTTATATTGAAATGTCTGTGCTGCTGTGCAGTGGCAAGCAGGGAAGGATGGATTGTGTGGAAGAAGAAAGGAAACCATTACATGATGCAAGCTACAGAGCTTATTATGGATAAGTTTTGAAATGCATTAGGCTTTTTATGGGCGATGTGCTGCATGTTTGAGTTAGCATCAATTTCATAAAGCTTTACTGTGAATTCCAGTAAGAGATTTGTTTCAGTTTTGCTTATATACGTCTCACTTAGATGGCACAATATCACTTTTTCTTTTACAGTATGATACTGAAACCTTGGCAGCACAGAGGTGCAGTGGGTAGCGCTGTTGCCACACAGCAAGAAGGGCCTGGGTTTGATTCCAGGGTCCATTCTGTGTGGAGTTTGCCTATTCTCCCTGTGTCTGCTTGGGTTCCCTCCCTCAGTCCAAAGATATGTAGGCGAATTAGAGATGCTAAATTGGCCCTAGGTGTGAGAATGTGTATGACTGTCTGTCTGCCCTGTGATGGACTGGCGACCTGTCCAGGGCATTTCCTGCTTTCTGCCCAATGAGCACTGGGATAGGCTCTAGCACCCCCATGACCCAGGAGGAAGAGTGGCTCAGAAAATGTTTGTGTGTGTATTGAAACCTTGAGTATTGGCTGACACCAATACCGATCAGATTTTTCTTCTTTAAAAACTATACTAAGCTTTAAAATGAGCTATTTAATGGAAGCACTTTCCTTAAGGTGGCCAGCAAAAAGTACCAACATACACCCTGCGTAAAGAAATGACTTCAACTTCGTTTTTGTTTATTCAAACAAGTCTTAGTCTTTCACAAAAAAATATCACTTACAGAGAAAATGTTGTAAATATAGTATAAACCTAGCTAGTGTGGCTTTGCTTTACATTATGTTGCCCAGAACTAATTTTCTGATATTCTGGGCTAGGTTTGTTAAGCGATTAGACCACATTCACTCTTTTTTCTTCCAATATCTGCTCCAGCATTTTCTGCCACTATCAGACCAATACCATTACAGGGTATCAGACTGTTGACATCTTTAATCTCACACCATTATATTACCTGCCATACAAGAATAAAGGTTCCAGATTTTTAATAGTGTAGTACTTATACTATAGACAAAACAGTGAGGCGGTTTAGTTGACTCTTATCTCTCTCAATTTCTTGTGTAGAAATCTGCTAAAAGGTCTGCTCTGAGACATTAATCAAGTGGATCCTGCTTATCCGAGCCAGTTCTGTCATTCAGATCCGCCCTGAGCTGTGCTTGGAGGCATAAATCCTTCGCAGAGAAGAAAACCTGTAAAGAGCTCATTATGATTCCAGGCTTCCAGAGTACTTAGCGTTTAGACCTCACAGTGAAATCATCACACTAATTCTAAGGTCCAAAACAAGTTTGTGCGCTGGTTTTAAAATGCAGACTTGGAGCACTCATAGTCCATGGAGCAAACATGGTCAAAACATCAGCACTTTAGATTAAAAATATGCAAAAAATCACTAAGGTACATTGAGCAGTGTAATTGCAATTCTAAAACTGTGCCATCCTAGCTGTTAGAATAGAGGAGACCACATTCTCCTTCCAGTCTGGGATTTATTGCTGAAGCAGACTGATATACATATAATATAGCTGAGTTATTAGGAGACCTGGCTGGCAGAGGAGTCTAAGATATAATGAAAGGCAGAGGTTCTTTGTTATAAGCGTAAAGCTAGCTTTTATTGCAGCCGCAAAAGCTTACAGTACAACTAGGCCCTTCATCATGGCCACCATTTTAAAAATATACAGAAATACTGACTGTTGCTCCATACAAACCCATGTTCATACCCTTACAACTACAACTACAAGGCATAGCAGACCCCTTTGATGTCATTTTTAAAAACAAAACTCTTTTGAGACCTAAAACCGGAAGTTAGTTATATTGGGCTTATAGGTGATACTTGGTTGGCACGGGTATCCAGTCCTCCATGACACGTGCCCAGATGCTGATGCTGAGTACAGCTGGATAATCTCTCCTAAGCTTTTATCATGAACGTGAGTTGATTCTGTCCTCAAAAGGGCTGGAACACAGTGAATATCACATATTCGGAGAGTTAGAGTGAGGATGTCATCTCATTCTCTGGAATGTTTCTACATTTTCCATGTATTTTCATTTTTTGACGATCAGGATTATTCTCAACCTTTTCTATGCTGGTGATTGTTTTGATCAGTATGCTTCTGACTGCTGCATGTGATCAGTTAACAATTTTCTGCCTTTTTTAGGAGGTCCTAAAGCAGCTGCAGAGTAAACTGGAGCAAGAGGCCTGCACTCTCGCCTCTTCGGGGAGAACTGATGTGCTTGACCAGCTCAAAGGTAACAGAAAATTCTATTTATGCAGTTCTTGACAACATTCATAGTATCACTTTCGTAAAAAAATTGACATCTTTAAAATGACAGCTTGATCTGCTAATGTGATTTAAAAAAACATATATACAATATAAAAAAACATATAAAATATTTTGTTTTAATAATTTCATTGTGTTTTGAATAATTGTCTACACACGTCATTTGGAATCTAAAACTGTTTAAAACCTATGATCAGAGTTGCACATGGACTTGACCAACTATTACGAGCTCAAGTATCAGCCTCACAACCTGCGTGCATTTCCTGAGACCATGGGCAGTCAAGCAGGCGATGTGGAGGACAGGACGGCTTTGCCTCCAGCCAGCATCAGCAGAGCAAGGAGCCCTGTCTGCTTATCATCCCGACAGAGCTCCTCTGTGTCTGGAGAGGGCACAGCCGTACACCCTGGACATGTCCACCAAGCCATGATGGGAGAGGGTCGTGTCACTGCCCAGCATCTAGAGGAACTCTGCAAGGAGAGGTGAGATCCAGAATGATAATTTTGTTGTTCTATTAATAGCCCAGTTTCCTTTGCACAAGGGCATGGAATGATGTAGTGGCTGTTTGAAATTGCTTAACCCACTGCTAGAGGTATTTTTAATAATTACTTTGATCCATCATTCAGATTAGGCTGCACCATATGGACAGAAGATTATATCGCTACATACTGTACATTTAAAAAGCTGTTTAGCTGGTCAGTAAGTGTTTATTTGTTCAGAAAAACACTAATATTAGAAAAAATATGAATAATACTAATACAATGCTGCTTCCCAAAAGCTAGGCTGTGGTCCAGGTTTTCATTTTTGTGTGTTGACTACTTTCCATTGACGTGACAAAGTGGCGTTGGTATCCTTCCTCCTTCAGTGCAGCTTGCCTTTTGGAACACAGTTCATAAGTAGTTTTGTATGTGCTTGTTTAACCATTTTCAAATCTCTCTTAGAGGAAGCCCATTATTATTAGTCGTTATCATCCAGTACCTGCTCTGGGAAATCAGTGCTTTAATAAATTAAATCAGGTGTTCTGGTAAAATTTAATAACTCTATACAATAGCAGGGAAGATCTGGAACCAAAATTCGTTCTTCTAACAAGCTCATATCATTTACTTTTTGAATACCAAAAAAATCTTGTTCCTTTTTACTGCACACATCTTTGCATTTATTCAAAAGTTATGTAGTGAGCAAAAGCAGACTCAGTGTCCAGATAAACAGTTTTAAACACTTCACTTAGGTGCCTAAGATTTTTGCACAGCGCTGTATGTTCTTTTGCTACATATTTCTAAATGTATTGCTGTATGTTGAAAACACATCAATGAACCCTAAATTTTCATCAGTTTGTTTTTAATGCACAACATACACTTCAAGCCTTGTTTAAGAAAGATGCATGATTTTCACCAGACATATATCAGATCATGTGAACGCCTCGATTCAGGCACCCGCAGGCAGCTGAGGTCGCTCACATGCTCACATGCAATAAATAATTTAGTGATTTACTGTTGTGCTATTTGCATATCGAACCTTCTGTGATATCAGTGTTTGCAAAGGCCAAATATCTCAGTTACAATTAAGGAACAATCTATCATGCAGTCTTAATTTGGGTAACCTTGTGGATTTTTTGTAGGACAATGCTGCTGAGCGAAATAGAAAAAGAGGAGAGAGAGCGCCATTGGTATTATTCTCAGCTGCAGGGACTTTCACAGAGGCTGGCAGAGCTGCCCCGCATTGACACAGTAAGAGAAGCTGCTGTACTATCACCCAGATTTTCCTAGCATTAATGGTTTTGTGGAACACACGCCCGTGTGTAGGTGTATCTCGAAATGAGGTCACCTAGTTTCACAGCTTTTTTGACAAATGACTGCTGCACAACCCAAATGTGCACAATGTGATGCCGTTGAGTTGTGTAGAAATACACACAATTTAAATTTTATGTAGGGCCAGATTTTGTAGAAGCATAATTTGCAGCACTCTCAAAACAGTATACCTGGTGTGCAGCATGTTTGTGAAGGATCTGTGCAGCAGCATGACTTCTAACACAAATGTCCCCTCTGAATTTCTCAGTTCTCCATACAAATGGACCTTATTCGCCAGCAGTTAGAATTTGAGGCCCAGCAGCTGCGTTCAGTCATGGAGGAACGTTTTGGTACCAGTGATGAAATGGTCCAGAGAACGCAGGTAAAGAATAGTGCACACCACTGCTAAATAAATTCATAGATAACTGGTAATGTCATCTCCTGCATAGTATATTGGTTGTTCTAAATGGTAAGAACATACTTAATGAATATCTTAGCAAACTTTATAACTTGCAGGGAAAACATAATTTTAAGTGTGGTGATTGATTCTAAACTTTTGAATAGTAGAGGATCTCCACTTACACTTATGAAGATAAATGTGGGTTTGATTAAAGAATTTAGAATATGCTGTTTTGACAGAATGTCTCCATTTGTTTTAGTGAGTGATGAGTTTAAAAAAATAATTCATGTACATTACAACATGCTTTTGATATAATTTGAAAAAGCCGTGAGTTCTAAGAGTTCCAATAGCATTATCCTGTTGTTTAGTCTGGTATATGAATATTCACTATGTCTTTCTGCAGATACGCGTAGCTCGTCTGGAGCAGTTGGAGAAAGAGCTGCAGGAGGCTCAGGGTTCTCGTGGCCCACAGGAGAAGAACACTCAGTCAGAGAGTCAGGTAAGTCCAAGAACTCTCCTATCCAGTCATGCAATATTATGACCTAGCACATGTACTTTAGCACATTTATTTTGATAATAGCTCAAAGGTACGTGCACTCAAAAAATAAATGGAGGTATAAAATCAAGACCACATTACCATTCATTAAATAGAGTTCCAATTAATGTCAACATGTTTTTCAAGTCAAACAGCCCACTTGGTTCTTTTTTGCTGTCAGTTTCTGCCTATGGTACATAGGTGTTTAAAGGTCTGAATTTCAGTTTTTACTTTGTGAAAGACAGTATATGTCAGCTGTTAAAACTGATAACTTCCTAATTTTTATTTTCTTACATATTGGAGACAAGCTCTTTTCCAGCCAGTCCTGAATCTGCAGGTTTCATAGAAAAGATAACAGATTTTTATACAACCTTCCATTTCAGAAATTAGAGACATTTGTCATACCTTGGGGTGCATTGTGTCAAAAGATAAGGCCTAAATCCTTTGATGTTTTGTTCTTGTACTGTTGACACTGTCAAACTGATACAGAGAACCAGAACGAAGAAATAGAATCAGCGCACTGTCACATCAAATAACACTTGCCAAGCTTTGCAAACAGTACAAACACATCATACATTTATAATACATCAGTCCCTAATTGAATAGAATCCTGTAATGTAAATAAACCAGAAAAATATTACTGATGTAATTTTATTGAAATAAATTAGTAGATGACTGTCAGTTTATCTGTTGCGCCACTCCTTAAAACACTATCATGTATCAAAATGTCATTGATATTTTGATGAATAAGATTTACTGAACGCATAAATGTTTCCCTGCAGTTTGTCATACCTTTCTTGATCTTTATATGACATCATTCTCTCTCTTGCCAGCCAGCATCTATTGCTGAATGTTTAATAGATACTTTGAAATATTGAGGCTCTGCTGTCATAAATCATTACATGGGAAGTGAAGAACATTGCAGAATAAACTTGCATGCTAGAAATCACCCATGATTGGTTGGGTGAAGGGATAGATTGAAGTGCATTTTACAGGAGGTGTACAAATAGTAGAAACACCATGTGAAATACTCACTCAGAAACCATTTAATCAGGTACACTCACTATATAGGTCCACTTTGTAACTGTAGCCCATCTGTTGCTGCACAATTTAACAGCCCCCTTTACCCCCATCCATCCATGTTGGTTCACCTTGTATTTGTAAAGTTACAGATTGTCGCTCATCTGTATAAAAACCCCAGCAACACAACTGTAATCTTGCTGAAACTAGGTTTTAGTGGTTGAGTTGGGTTCTAACCTCTTTTTTTCCCTTGAAACTTACTATGCTTTTAAAAATTATATATGTAAATGAGCTCAGTTCTGATTGGCTGCCCTGCCTGAAGATGTCTTGGTTTTTGTGGCATCACAAAAACTGTAAATTCAAAACAGTGTTTTTGTAGCTTTGTTTTCATTTACGAATGAAATACTGTAGTTCACATACTATATCTTTGTAGTTAGTTGCATCAGTACATAATTTACAGTTTAATAAATATAGGCCACATCTGCAAATAACAAGCAAACTGAAATATAATTGTTAGGATATTTTGTTTTTTTGACAGCTTAAAGATTTAGTGCCATTCACCAGATTACACAGCTAGAGCCCCACGCCATCTCACCTTGCACTGCTCTCTGGCAGCTAAAGCTGTCAGTGAATGTTGCTAGGCATGCCCTCTCACAGTGCTCTCTTATTGGCTGCTTAAGCTCTGTCTGGCTGGCCCACTGTGAAGCTGGCATTTAGAAACATGCCTCACTGTGAGCGCCCCATGCCAGCCCAGTCATCTGTTTACTATACTGAAAAAAGTGATCCATTGAATTTGTTTGATTCAAATGAGTGTACAATGTTCACTTGAATGAAACGCATTACATCAACACAATTGTGTCTTATTTATTTGTATTTGGCATTAATTGTGGTGATGTAACGTATTTTATTAATGTGGAAAACTGTACACATTTGAATTGAGCATATTCAAAGCTTCCAGTGCATTATTTTTTCAGTATAGAGCACCTTATGAGACTAGATGAGACTAGTAATGACTCCATTAGACATTATTAAAATAAATAGTATATATTATTTTTTATGTTCACCTTTTTACATTCAGTACCTTTACCTGGCCAGAGTTGCATGAATTGTTCAATTTTGAACTGCAGTCAGGTTTTTGCTGCTGGTGAAAATGTACAGACAGCACTGTTTGTCATCAGTTTAAATCTTACAGCAATAGATTTCGTTACGTCCATTAGACATATACTTTTATTTTAAAGATACTGGAGGCAGCTTGTGTGTAGCCCACGCTTGTCTGGGTAGACCTCAAGAGATCACATGCCTACCCATGGCACCAAAGGTTGCCATAGCGATGGGCTTGGGGATGAAAGGATGAATTTACTGCTTTGGCTGTTGGAGGATTTGCTGTGCAGCCAAGTGGGCTGCCAAATGCAAACGATACAGCTGGAGCACTGCCTTACAAAGGGACTGTAGAATGCAGAATGCAACAGCAATTTTTATTGTTTGTTTTATATTGTATTACATGAAAACAAATTAAATTATCAGATGTTTTTGCCTCACACTTTTTAACTGTAATGCACTGTTAAACATTATTTTCTCTACCACATAAGTGTTGAAGGCTAAGCAGTAGCACATGCATGCTTGTACCTTTCTCTTTTTACAGAGTGTTGACTGCCTCTCCAAAGTGTCCAACCCTGAGCTGGACAATGGAGCTTCCACTAGCTCTATGATGGAGGCCCCTGGAGAAGCAGGGAGCAAGGTAAGACAGCAATGTCTCATGTTATGTGTCAGTTATAAAAAAAGTTCAGTGACTTAAGAAATTAAGAGATGATTACACAGTTTGTTGCTGTGAATTATAATTAAAAAAAAGTTTAAAGAGTTAGAAACAAAACCTGTAGTGAGTTGTTGGCATCAAGTCAAAACAATCATAGCATTAACAATCAATGTACCAGAGGCAGACAGATATAGAAAAAAAATGCAGGGGCTCCTGAGTGGCCCAACCATCTAAACGTTGGCCCTATCATCAGGAGATCGCGAGTTTGATCCCTGGTGATGCTACTGCCCCACTCAGGCCAAACCAATGGCAAAAAGTATTTGTGGCCAGAATGTAAAAACATGTTTACTGTATGTATTTTGCATTTACAATTAACAAGCATGCTTTAGTACCAAAAACCAGCCAGGTGTTGCTTCCATTTGTTTTATTACACCAGTCAAACCAGGGCCACACTTTTGAATTGTTAAAGCTATGGCTGTGCTTTTAAATATTATGTTTTCTGTACAAGTTACACCCAGTAAATAATGAGCCTGACAAGATCCTCAACTTAACATCACTTCTTTCTCAAAATCATACTGCAGCCAAATACATTTTTCTTCTGTCAACTTTGAACTGGTGGATAATGGTGGATATTTGTGGTGTTTTGTTAAAATGGAAGAAGTAAAAAAAATCTCCAAGACATGCAGCCACTCGTGCCAGAGGCACTGCATTTTTAGTGATCAAAATGTGAATTACACCAGGCAGTAGGCAATGTCAACCTTTACAGTGCACACTGAAAAAATGATGCATTGAATTTACTTGATTCAAATGTGTACATTTTTCAACATGAATAACATAGAATCAACACAAATTTGTCTTTTGGTTAATTTACGTTTGTTAGTAATTATGTTAATGAAATAGATTTTGTTCATGTGGAAATGGTGTACACATTTGAATTTAAATTCTTGGCATTACTTTTTTCAGTGTAAGATGGCCATTGTAATGGAGTGGTGTTTATGCTTTGATGACTGTAAGCAATACAGCTGAGAATGTGATTTATAGCTCTATCAGTCAAAGAAAAGTGCAGTGTTCAGGATGTGGCACTGAATATGCTGGCATCTACATTTTAGGTGGAGATGGTGTTCTGGCTGCTGTCTATGCTGGCCTCCAGAGATCGGGAAGAGATGTCCCGCACCTTGTTAGCTATGTCCAGCTCACAGGAAAGCTGTATTGCAATGCGCAAATCAGGCTGTGTCCCCTTGTTGGTGCAAATACTGCATGACGGAGGCTCCGGAGAGACCACTGGAGCCGCAGGCTGCAGCCGTGAGGCTCGATCACGAGCTAGTGCGGCTCTGCACAACATTGTGTACTCACAGCCTGATGAAGGTCAAGCACGACGTGAGATGAGAGTGCTACATGTGCTGGAACAGATCCGCTCACATTGCGAGAATGGCTGGGACTGGATTGAGAACCACCTCGGAACCCCATCACCTGGTGGTGCTAAGAATGGCAAGATAATTAAACTATTTGTTTGTAATATTTATATATAAACTAAAATATCTACTGTGTTCTAATGATTGTAAAACAACAGCACAAATTTCTGACACGCAAATGTCTCGATATGAACTGTGCAGGAATTCCAGAGCCAGTAGATCCTCAGATTTGCCAGGCCACGTGTGCTATAATGAAGCTTTCCTTTGAAGAGGAGTACCGAAGGGCCATGAATGAACTTGGTACGTGGAACTACTACTCTTTTATGACATTTTAGGAGAACCACCTTTCTGCATTGTTGAAAATTGAAATTACAAGCCACATTTAAAAAGAGAAAATTTAAAAACGTAGCAAAGCATCTTGCATCATTCAAACACATATTGTCATCTCCACACTCTTGAATTCAGTCTAATAAAACATGTATACTGGAATTTTGTCCCCTGTACTTCAGACTAGTCTTAAGCATTTGATGGCTGATCAAATGTAGGCACAAGCAAGTACTTAGACTGGGGAAACAGCTTACTGTATCTATGCAAAAAAATATTATGAGCTTCTCTGTTTGTTTCAGGGGGTCTTCAGGCCATTGCAGAGCTAATGCAGTTGGAACAGGAGCTGTATGGCATGCAAAATGAGCCTATGAATATGGCCCTGCGAAGATATGCTGGGATGGCACTCACTAACCTCACATACGGTGATGTTGTGAATAAGGTAGATAAAAACTTAGAGAGATGTCGTGAGCTAGAGCAATGAAACGACCTTTATTTTATGGCTGCTATATTGTTTTTCTTATGTTCTTGATTTTGTTTCAGGCCACACTTTGCTCAAAGAAAAGCTGCCTTCAAGCCATTGTTGCCCAGCTTGCATCTGATAATGAGGAATTACATCAGGTACATAGTGAAAGGTTGTTTTTGTAAGATTTAGAAGTTGAATTTGTTAATTTTGTGTCAACTAATGCATACAGGACTCACGTTTAATACAAAGCTAATCTAAAGTACTTTTCAGTTTTTGAGGAAATGCATGTGAAGAACAGTTTGACAAAGAATTAGAAACGAGGACACTGGTTTTAAGAGAATTTCAAATTAAGGGCATTTTGTATGGATTTGGCCTTAATTCTAAATTGTTTTTTTCCTACAGGTTGTCTCAAGTATTCTTAGGAATCTTTCATGGCGGGCTGACATCAACAGTAAGAGAGCTCTTCGTGATGTTGGCAGTGTATCAGCACTAATGACCTGTGCACTCCAAGCTACAAAGGTAAACACATAGACTGTATGGATTGTTATAACTAGTACTGCCATTATTATTATTCTGCAAATTACTGTGTACTGTTTTTTTCTGTATACAGGAATCCACCTTAAAAAGTGTGCTGAGTGCTTTATGGAATTTATCAGCACATAGCACTGAGAATAAGGTGTCGATTTGCTCTGTTGATGGTGCTCTTGGGTTTTTGGTCAGTACCCTTACCTACCGGTGCCAAACCAACTCGCTGGCAATCATTGAGAGCGGTGGAGGTATTCTCCGCAATGTGTCCAGCCTTGTAGCTACCAGAGAAGATTACAGGTATTACGATGAACACTACTGTCTTATTGGACTAATATTTTATTCTGGTCCTTGTTACAGTAGCATCACTAATAGGGCTGGACGTCATTTCAAATTTTCTAAAATCAATAACAATACTAATATCTAATTTTGAGTACAGATACTTGAACTTCTTGATACCTTCTTTTAAATTATAAACCAAAAGTGGGTATGGCTTAAACCAGATATGAATGTGAATTGCTAGTCAATAACATGCATGTAATTTAGACAGCCAGTCACCAGTTTACATTTTGGAACTAGGAGGTTAATTGATTCACGGATGCAAAGGCTGACTATTTGGGTATTGAAATCTGAATAAAATCAAATGATCTGATACTCTGTGGTAATAAGGTTATTCTGTCAGTACTGCACTGTACTTAATTTCAATACTTTCCCTCTTTTTCCTCCCTAGACAAATCCTCAGGGATCACAACTGCCTCCAGACTTTGTTACAGCACCTGCGATCTCACAGTCTAACCATTGTAAGCAATGCATGTGGAACCCTGTGGAATCTGTCCGCTCGAAGTCCAAAGGACCAAGAATTACTGTGGGACCTAGGAGCTGTGAGCATGCTTCGTAATCTCATCCATTCAAAGCACAAAATGATAGCCATGGGAAGCGCTGCAGCTCTGAGAAACCTCCTCACAAATCGTCCTCTCAAATATAAAGATACTGCTGTTGTATCTCCAGGCTCCTGCATGCCTTCACTCTATATGAGGAAGCAAAAAGCATTGGAGGCTGAGCTAGATGCAAAACACCTGGCAGAAACATTTGATTCAATTGAGAAGCAAAGCCCCAAGCATTTGAATATTAACAAGCCACTACGACACATAGAGAGTTTAGCGAAGGACTATGCCTCAGACTCTGGATGTTTTGATGATGATGAGGCCCCAAATGTTTCAAGTAGCTTAGACACTGGGACTTTCTCTATGCTCTCTATGTTCTTGAACAATTCCAACTTCCTTCAAAATCAGCCTCGCAAGAGAGAAAATGAGCCTGAGCAAGATGTGGGGCCATTACAAACAGATGATAAAAAGACACAACCTCCTGAAGATGAGGTGACTGTTGCAGCTGAAAAGTTAGCAAAAAAGATTACTAACACTGTGGCTAAAATTGACAAACTGGTGGAAGATATTACCATGCACACATCTTCAGAGGACAGCTTCAGTCTCAGTTCTGAGGATCATTTTGCAGATTGGAATTATGGGCCTGATGATCTCCGTGAGGCACGAGCTAAGTCGTGTTCCCCTTGCGGTCTTTCTGATATCAACTCCTTTTCACACAAAGAGCGCTTCAGCAGAGCTCATGCCCTAATGCGACTTAAAACAGCCAACTCAAGTTTGTCCAATGACAGCCTTAACAGTGGTAGCATCAGTGATGGCTACTGTGGGAGTAAGGACCAGATACGCTCTTCCATGAGGCCAGCAGAACAAAAACGACCAAACAAGCTTGATCTTAAGGTAGCTCATGAGGAACTGCTAAAGAGCAGTACCAGTGTTTCCAAATTAATTTGTCAGAATGAGATACCTGAGAGAGATTCAGAGACAGCGAAAGATCTGAAATTACCTGATCAAGGTAGCACAGATGAAGAAAAGGGTCAAGAACCTCTTATTGCAACACCAGCAACTGTGTCAACCAGGGTATCTTCTGATACCAGCATACCTACCATTAAGCTCTCTCCCTCATATCAGCATGTTCCACTGATCCAGAGTGTTGCCCGGTTTGGTGTTGCAAAGACTGCTATTAATGTTCAGGCAGCTCAGGCAATGAGAAGACAAGCCTGGGTCCCAACTGTATTGACTGGCGGAAGTATTAGCAAGTTCTCCCCGGTATGCTCTACGAGAAGCCCAACAATAGGCCAGCTGGAGACACCACAGAAGTATTCAGTGGAGAACACACCGATCTGTTTCTCACGCTGCAGCTCTTTGTCCTCCCTTTCTTCTGGTGATGGAGCCCTAGATGGACAGAGTCAAAGCGAAAATGAGCTGGAGAGTGACTCATCTCTGGAAATTATTGAAGTGGAAGATGGTGATGTAGTGAAGAAGGAGGAAGAGGACGAGACACTAGAGGATTTGAGTGATAGCCAGTTGCTTATGACTGACCAGAAAACATGTCCCACGAGCAGCAGTACTTCTGACCCCATTCAGATTCCCTGCACACTGAGACATGAAAAGACATTCCTTAGAGCGACATCACCAGTTATAAATGAGGACAGGACCCCATCCAGTTCCTCAGACAACTACATTCATGAGACACCACTTGTGATGAGCCGCTGTAGCTCTGTAAGTTCACTGGGTAGCTTTGAGTCCCCTTCAATTGCTAGTTCTATTCAGAGTGATCCTTGTAGCGAAATGATCAGTGGAACCGTTAGCCCGAGTGATCTCCCAGACAGCCCAGGCCAAACCATGCCCCCAAGTCGCAGTAAAACTCCATGCTGTGCTGAATCAAGTGGACCAGAGCAGCAAAATCTTGGTGGTGTTGCAGGCCAGTGGGAAAACAGCTTGCGGAAGTTTATGGAAATTGCAGACTTTAAGGAAAGGTTCAACTTGCCTCCAGACTTGGACACAATGATCTACTTCACTGTTGAAAAACCAATTGAGAATTTCTCTTGTGCCTCTAGTCTGAGCGCCCTACCTCTGCATGAGCACTATGTTCAGAAGGATGTGGAGCTCAAGCTTACTCCATTGCTAAATCAGCAAGACAATGACCCAGTATATGCTGGACAGAGAGATCCTGATGATCCATCACATATGGATCAAGATCAGTACAGTGAGGGCAACTCTGATGATGACATTGAAATTCTCAAAGAGTGCATCAATTCAGCCATGCCTTCTAGGTTTAAGAAAGTAAGACCCACTTTGATGTCTACCCTCTCAAACCAAGTTTTAAACACCCAGGCTCGAAGATCTGTGCAGTTACCAGTATACATGGTGCTCCAGAATAATAACAATCAGATGTGCTCTGGCCGAAAGGTTGGAATGTGCGTGAAAGATATTCATTGTGATGATTCTTCCTACACTGATTCTGCTGAAGGTACTCCGATTTATTTCTCAAGTACCACTTCCTTAAGTGATGAGACTCTTCAATACCCGGTCAAGATGAAAGGGTCAAAAGACTGGCGGTCCAGAAACAAAGAAACACAGGAACTTATTGATATAGAGGCAAAGAGAATTGAAGAACTACGCCTCTTCTCTCGCTTCCACAAATCGAGTAAAATGGCTTGTCAGTCTGACATAGTAACAAACCAAATGAACAAAACAGTGAAGCAAATGACTCCTACTCAAAGGTTACTCATGCAAAGTAAGGAGATGGCAGCTAGAATGACTCAGCAAAGAGTCCAGAGCCAATCCCCAGTCCGACAAGTACAAAAGCAAGGACAAAACCTGTCACAAAGCATGCCACATTTAGATTTTACAGTCAGAAAGCAAGGTGCAGACGTGTATCAAAATAAGAAGACATATTCCAGAAGTAATACACAGGAAAACGCAGCTTTTCAGTCAATGCGCCACCCCACGCCCACAGGGGACACCATCTACTGCTTATATGACAATGAAATGGATAAAGACGATGGAGTGATGGCAAGGGCAAGGAACAGACAGAAACAGTTGAATGATACAAGTAAAAATAACATAGGTCCCAACTATGCGATTCCAAAAGGTCGTATAGACAATTTCCAGAGGAATGGGTTTCACAGAATCAAGCAAAATCTAATTTTGGAAGAAGCTCCCCCATGTTACTCTCTTAGCTCATCTCTGAGCTCTTTGAGCGATGCAGAGTTTGAGGAACAAGTAGGGAAAGCTCAGCGAGTATGGTTGAGAAATAAACATAATTTGATGTCCAATTCAGTTCAGTGTCCTCCAAAAGCCCAACATGCCCAAAATCAATTTGAAGATAACAGCTCACCAAGTTCAGTGAGCATGGACTCTGAGGACGATCTTTTATTAAAATGTATAACATCTGCAATGCCAAAGCAAAAGAAAAAACAATCCAACAGAAAAAGGAAGGGAGAGAAGAAACAAAAACAGAAAACTGTTGTTCAGAAGGACTCTGAAGACTGGGGCCCTGAAGATGGTCTGGGCAGTGATGACATGGCATCTGATAAAGATTCTGATCTCAACAGTGTTGAATGGAGGGCAATACAAGAGGGAGCGAACACAATAATTACAAAGTTGCAAGCTTCAAAGTCCCAGGAACCATCATCAGAATCAGAATCTGTTCTTTCATTTATGTCTGGATCAAGCTTCACCCCAAAACCTGACGTCAATGACAAGAAGAAGGTAATCAAAGATAACAAAAAGGCCAATAAGCCACTTGATTTTGCCCCACGTAAACCGGTTCCAAACTTGCCTGTAGTTTTCAGAGGCAGAACAGTCATATACATGCCCAAGAAAGAGACAACACTTTCACAAAGACCACCAGCCAAGAAAGTGAGCCCCCAAACAGATGCTCCAAAGAATCCAAACTTAGCTCAACATCGGTCTAGAAGCCTTCATAGATTGGGACTCAATAACGATTCTACTCAGCTGTCATTGCCCAAGAGAAGCTCAACTCCTCCTGCCAGGATCCCAAAGAGCTCATCATCAGGATCATCTCAAAGTTCAACCCCTTCCAGGCAGCCTTACAAAAAAGTAACCTCCCCTACCCAGACAGTAAAACAAAGTCCGAAAATGGCAGCCTCAGCTCCAAGCAGTCCACCTGACAAGAAAGGAAGCGTCCCCACACCCAATCAAAACCCAAGATCTGCTACAGACAGCAAAACACAGAAATCCCCTGTCAGGATACCATTCATGCAGAACCCTTCAAGGCAGTCAAGAGCAATTTCACCATTAGTGACCAATCAACCGACTAGTGTTACCAGACAAAATAGTCAGTTAACGGGGAAAAGAATCCTACCAGCCAATCGACTGGATTTAGTTCGTATGACATCTGCTCATTCACGCAGTGGTGAATCAGATCGCAATGGTTTCTTGAGACAACTAACTTTCATCAAAGAAAGATCAAATGTCTCAAGACAAGACGTTCCTTGTTCCCGCTCAGTTCCTACATCCAAGCATGGATCACCTCGAAGAGCATGTCCAGGAGCCCCAGCAGTTTTTCTTTGTTCCTCTCGCTGCCAGGAGCTGAAGCCAGCAGTACAAGGGCCAAGAAGATTGCAGGGGTCGCTAGGGCCAAGAAATGGACAGGATCAAGGCATCCTCAAGCAGAATATGACTCTTTCAAGGGCAAATTCCACTGACAGGGACCTCACAGTGAAACGTCCAGCCAGAAGAACAAGTTCAGAAAGTCCTTGCAGGATGCCTCAGAGGAACGTACCTGAGCCAAAGCAACGCGAGAAGAGAGAAGACACTTTCAAAAGATATTCCTCCTCCCCAAGCATAAACATCTTGAGCCGTGTCACCAGCCGATCCTCCCTACGCTCCTCGTCTTCAGACTCAAGTGGACGGGCTAAGAGTGAAAAGGACTTGAAACAGAGGCAGGGCCGAATTGGATCGCGAAACAATAACAACAAAGTCACCTGGAGGAGGATTCGTGATGAAGATGTTCCCCAGATATTAAAGAGCACTCTTCCAGCCACTGCTTTGCCTCTGGTGCCTTCCCCTGAAGGGCAAAAACCAGTGCCACCGCCACCATCACTGCCAGGGAAACTGCCAACGATTACACTGATATCACGTAAAACAAGTGACGCAACGGTGCAAACCGAGGACTTCTCAAAAAATAAAACCAATTCGAGCACCTCCCCAACAATTGAGAATGGCACAGTGATTTCTGAGGAGGCAGCAAAGGTAGCTCTCCTCAGAAAGATCAGCATGCCCTCTGGGAATAACTTGCAAGACGGAGATTCTGATGGATCCCTCAAAAATTACAGCACAGCTTCCACCTCAACCTTTCAATCTGTGGAGAGCAGCCATAGCGGAGGCATAGGTCACTTCCGTCATAGTTCTCCCAGCAAAGCTGTCAGAGTTACTCCGTTCAATTACGTCCCCAGCCCGATGGCTTGTTGCTCTCAAGAAACACAGAATCAAGCACCAACAATACCTGAGAAGACAGGTGAAAAACTTGAAGCTTAGTACCTAAAATTGGTCACTGTTTCAAGCTTGACTTCTGTGTTCCTGATGCTGTAAAAACTCAGGTGGTTTAGTGAGCAACATTAATCTACTTTACCTCGGACACTCAGTCTTGCGCTTGCCATTTGCTTCAAAAATTATTTATCTGACAAACATTGTCTTCATTGGCTATGAATTTCTATCACTGAAAGTTGGATGTGGACAAATAGGCATGAACTGTAGTATCTCATTGGATTTAACCCGTTGTATGGAACTTATACACCATTAAAGTGAAGCCGTCCCTTTTTTTATATTTTTGTACAGTTACATACATGAACCATTGCTTGTTTTGTTTTGGTTTGGACACTTGATCATATGAGAAAAGGATTTCAAGTTCAAGTAGAGAGTTTAACACACAGCGTTCTTTATGAACCACAGTGGACGACTACATCCAGCTCTGTATTCATGACAAACAATATGCAAATCACCCAAATCAGAGACCTGATTACTGGACATTTCGGAAGAACACGTGCCACCTAAAACCTGAAAGACTGTTACAGTACAAAGAAGAAAACTTCACATTTATGCATTATGCACAGTATTTCTTGTATGTCATTATGCCACTGACACTGATTATAAAAGCCCTTAGCCTTCACTTTTATTATTGCAGGTAAATACATTTGTGGTAGGTCAGCCCAAGTCAGCACAGCGAGAACATAATATAATCCTTGTTGGTATGTAGTGATACTGTTGTATATATTTACAAAGACTCTCTAATGCTTCCCAGTAAGCAAAAAGTACTCCTAGCGCCGCTACTACTAGCATGCTCAATATTCACCTCGTGTGCACATCTATGTGTTATCGATGTTGAATAATCCTGTCCCATGAGGCATAAGTAATACAGATGGAGGGATCATCTCTAAATCTTTTGAATAAAAAAAGAGATGTACTTGTTAATTGTTTAGCTGTATGTAATACACTTAGGTGGCTGTACATAATCTCTGCTTATTGAATGCTTTGATAATGTCATTTTGTGTATGATCAGGTATGGTTTAATTCATTAAGAGCAAGAATAACACGTTATTCTGTGGATTATTAGAGAGGAACAATTTAAGAACTCACTGATCAACTCATCGATGAATATCTGTTAAAAATGCATTGCAATTCAAGCAGATCCACGGTACAAATTATGTTGTGGCTTGAACGACCGTTGCCCAAGCAGACTGACACTATAAAAAAAAAACAGCATTAAACCTACTGTTCAGCTATATACATGATGAAAACATGCTCCATCATTTAGCAATTGGTAAGTGCAGTATTTTCAGTCTTTATGTAGCTATTCTATAGCTGGTTGATTGGAAAGGGTCTCTGAAGAATAACAACAATACATAATGTGAACTTTCTCTGAATGTAAATGCTCATGTTGAGATGTTGATGTTGCTGGCCCTCACGTCTTGAGCCCCCTAAAGCCCAATGTAACAGTGGTTGTAAAAGCTTGGCCAGGTGGTACAACAGAAGCTTTCAACAAAGAAATACAATTTTTCTGTGAAGCTCTAGGACAGTGGTCACCAACCACTGTCTCCAACTCGTCCTGGAAGATCTGCATTCCTGCAGTTCTTGCTTTCCTGCGTTCTTCCACACCTGCTCCAGCGAATTAACTTCTTGTGAAGTCTTTGATTGGCTGGATCAAATGCGTTAGTGTTAGCTAAGAGGGGCAACATGCTAACTGCAGGAAACTAGATCTCAAGGAGGAGGGCTGGTGACCACTGCCCAAAGCTACAGAGCTCAGTGGCTGATGAAAATAATATGCATAGTTTATTGTTTTGAGTGTGACAGTTAAATGTACCCAAATCAGAAGTCTTTCTGCGAAATCTGTAAGCACTCGATATCCCTTTATTTCTGACTAGTCTGAGAGATGCAGAAATTATGCACAGATTCATTTGTGAAAATTTCCAATTTGAACTCTTACTGTATTTCACTATGTATATGTAACACATCGACAAGAACGTGCATACTGGTGTACTTGTTTATTTTCATTGGAGATTAATGTCCAAATCAATGCGCCAGCACTATACACTGAAATGTTGAAGGGTTTTTTTTTGCTGGATGCAAATTGTGTTGGAAACCAACAGTATTACCTAGTGATGGCCAAGGGTTGATTTCCATAATAAATGTACTCATGAAGCTTCAGTGTGTATTTTTTAACATTCATTTTAATACATTGTGTCCATTTTAAATGTGAAAAATGTTGTTTTATTTTTACACAGGCTAATTTGTAAGGGACATTGCGGCCAACATGGAAAATGTAACCACTGCTACATCTGTTGTAAACATGCCTACAGTGATGCTGCAGTAGTCTCTACAGAGTCCAGGAGACCCACTTCTAATGATGCATCCTGAATGTGGGAGAAAGGTTTAAAAAACTGGGGCAGATGTGTAATGGCAGTGGCTGGTTTACTAGTTTACTAGCACAGACAAACTCCAGTCACCCGTTACAACCAGGAAGCTGAATATGTCATCTATGTATCTATGCATAGCCTCTAAATTGGTGGCTATGCTAGCAGTCTGGTTTTGTGTAGGGGGGATTCTCAGTGGTTGTATGATGTAACCGAATAATCCATATTGTACATATCCATAAGGATACTGTTGTGAGAGAATATGGATGAGGGAAAACAAAAATGATGCAACATAGAGACTAAGGGATGCAGTGCTGCACTACAGAATACTGCATAAGATGAAAATATTTAATGTTAGTTTTAGTCTGGAATGCCCCCTTTAACATATATGAATGTTCAATCTAGCCTATATGGACAATGAAGTGCCTTTAACATGAGCTGTTTTATAAGCTATTTGTTTCATGGAGTGGGCACAACACCAGGACCAATATCTTTAGTTCATTACAGCTGAGCGAAGCAATGAGTGCATTTACATGCACTCAATAATCCAATCATAATCGGATTTTTGCAGTTATCTGATTATGCAAATGGTCATGTAAACACCATACTCCGATCTAGAAATCTGATTAAGAAATCTGCTAAAGAGAGCTGGATTTTAGCTCAGTAATCAGATTTCTCAGTGCATATAAACTCTTACTCGGATTTCTTTCGGATTTCTCAGTCTGCGCATGTGCCGGAAAATAAGCAAGCGGGGTTGCTGCGAGATGGCAGCAAAACACTTTTGAAGCGTCGCTGAAACTGACTACATTCATGATGAAATGAAGGATTTAAATATTTCATATGTTCATATTTTCAGGTAAAGTGGCGCGATGTGTGTTTTTTTTTAAAAAAAAGCCATGGCGTGAAGTTTGGTTTTACATTTACATCACGTCTTCTGTGAGTTTACTGGCTGGTTGCAAAGCAGAAATTCAATTCCTGCCTGACACACACAGACCCATAGTTTCCTATTATATGATTACTGAAGTGCATATAAACACCTTGATCGGATTACTGACAAAATCTGATTTTCTGCAGTTATCAGATTATTAAGTGCATGTAAACACAATGCTATAAACCAGTTTAGCTGGTATTCGTGTAACAGGTTATGAAGACATCCCACAGTGGAACTACAGCATCAGCTATAGCATAACCCAAAATCAAAGGACAATAATTAAAAGGCAGGATTTGACGGCACTGCTAAATCTGGCACAAACAGCACAACAAAGTACAGACAGCAGTCCAGTCTACTTTTAGACCGTGTGTCTAGACATCTTCAGTCAAACAGAATAATGATAATATAATCACTGTATTAACATCTTATTCCACACAGCGATTATTAATAAAGTCATAGGGAATTATAAGGAACAACAGCCATTTCAATTCTGATTAGTAAGTGACAGAAATGTTTTGTTGGTTGGGGTCCACACTCCAGCTCTTCAGAAATTATGATGCACAGTACAGGTAAAGAGCAGACAGTCCACTTTCTGGCACAACAGTTCAAAATCATCAAAACATAACTTAATCATTCATCCTACACCCACCACAATACCAGCGAAGTGAGAGGCTTCCAACAGCACATGGCGGTCTGTCAGATTGCTCTGTCCTTCACTTCTGCTACACTCTTCTCTAAAGACTCTCCCACTGTTCTGAGCTCATCTCTTCTCTGTACTAGTTCAGTGCGCGCCTCCTGTAGCCTCTCGTTCAGCTCCAGGTACCGGCGGCTCTGCAGGTACCTCGTCTCCACTTCACTGCTGCTTGATCCCCCCTTCAAATCTGGAAGAATACGTCACATTAGAAATGCTTCATGAGTTTTAGGGATGCATGATGATACTGGAATCATATCAGTAAAGGCAGACAATTGCTTAAAAAGTGTCACCATGGGACAGATGTTTAAAATTGACAGACAATTCAAACCCATATTTGTTGATTTTACTGCAGAAAAAAAGCAGAATGTTGAGGCACCGCTGGGCTACTAAACATCTCTACATTTTATACATATTACTGCATTTGTAACCCTACAAAAATAAATGCTGTATTATCCAGTTATTTGTGGGAAGGGACCACCGTTTGAAAACGGAAACATGCTGTGCGAGGCAGTCCGTTTTTGTACTGAAACTGTTTCATTTGCACAGGGTTGCTACGTTACAGACTTTTATTTTGAAATGAAACACGTATTTGAGCCAGTATCATGATGTTACAGCATTCATAATAATACTGAAAACTAGACAAAAAAACTATTACTTTTCAGAAAACAAAAACAAATTAAAACTATAGCTGATCCCTTAAAACTAACTGAAACTAAACCGAAATAAAAAAAAATAACGAAAAGTTAAATGAAAAATAAAAACAATTAAAATTTTCAAACTGAACACTGCAGTGCTAAACAGTCCAGATTATAAATCACAAATAGCTCTGCAGAATTAATTAAGACCTGGAGTCGCATCTTCATCTTGAAATTGTCATCGTTACACCTTTACTCTACAGTAACTGCACAGTTAGCTAACAGACTCCTAATATTCAGATCACCTTCGCTGGACTCCTGCAGAAGGCTGAAGACTGGATCATTGGGGTAAGCTCGGTTTATGTCCTCTATGATCTGCTCCACTGACGGAGGGTCAGGTCGAGTCGGAAGGACCATCCTCTTCTTTCCTTTGGATCCCAGATTCATCTCGTTCTCCTACAGTATCAGTTCTCACTTATTCAGCCAGCTGTGGAAAAGAGTCTGTTCACTTTAGCACCGGGAAGCTACTTTACTTTAGAAAACTCAATAAAACATTTGCCGTGTCACCGCGTGAGTTTTACCCGTGATGTAAAAGTGTAAAAGTTCGTTTTATAAACGACGCTGTAGAAGAGTAAACGAGTTAAAATGAACTGTTAAGCGTCAACGTTGCTTGTTGTTGTCATTACTTCTCCGGATTTGCTGTGGTAGCTTATTCACCTTTTCTGCAGCACACTGCCATCTACAGGCTGGGAGAGAGGTCATGTTTTAATTTATTTATTTATTTATTTATTTATTTACGTACTTTTTTTTTGGAAATGCAAGTAAACATAGTTATTGCATTTTAAGCAAACAGGAAAAGGAACAATAATTTTATATGCACTCTTTTCAATGAGGAAATTTTAGCGTAAAGTTAATGTCTGCGTTAAAAATTAGAAGCAGATTTGTTGACCTTGTCCTTTTAAACTAAAATAGAAAATTACAGAAAAGGACAATTTAAACCTGTTTAAAATTATTTAAGCATGATCATGCTGGTTGACCAGCATACCGGCATCCAAAACACAGCATATTCTGGTTTTGCTGTGCTGGTTTTTCTAGCAGTGTAATTCAGTCGTTGAGATATAAACAAAGTCATTCAGAGTGGTTTGGTTCAGGGGCGTCATTAGACCCAAATTACTACGGCGCCGTTCCCCAGTAAAATGTTGCTGTGCTCCACTAAAATCACGGTGGTAAAAAGCCAATAAGAAAGCCATAAAGCTTTTCGATTTATCCTGGATTGCTGAACAGAACTACAGAACGCGCCGCGCGAATTCACCACAGGCACTACATTTCCCATAATGCCCCAGGCTAACGCTTTCAGTCAGAGCCGGTTTCTTTCGGTTTTTACGCGTGAAGTATCCAAATAAACATAGGTTGCATAGATATTTTAAAGAAAGTCAGCAGACACGGTAATGACAGCCCATAACTGTGTGATTTGGCCATACACTTTTAACTGTAACCTACCAAAATTACACATTAGACCCCTAAAGCAAAGGCATTTAATAAATTAGCAAATACACCAGTTACGTTACGTTAGCAAAGGCTTTATTTATGCTGGCTAGTAAAGGGGGCATTGATAATAAGCTTGCAAAATGAGCATCGTGATATAACCAGTATAATAGTAAACTACTTGTTTTGCAAACCTGTGTTAATTAGCTAGCAAGAACTGGTGATACAAAGACAAAATCACAATTTCACATGCAGTTTTATTTCACATGCATGTGGTTGACTATACTATTGAAATGAAATGTAAACAATTAAGACAATAAATTAACAATAAAGTAACACCTACTTTAGTATTAAATGAGTTAATCTATTCAGTGCCTAACAGGTCTTTTACCAGATGCACAGTTGGACCCCTTCGACTGATTGGTAAGCGGAGGGGAACGGTCGTGCCCCTCTTGCATCTGGGTTTGATGTGAAATGGCTCATTGTAAAGACTGTAGATTTCTTTACATTGGTGGTGATAGGAACCAGGGGTCACCATGTCTACAACACAAATATAGCCCTTTTATTTATTGTCCCAAACCTACCAGTGAACCTAAACATGTCTTTTGAGATTTTATATATAATGTTGATGGTAAATCTGACATACATAGTTTTCTTTGGGGGCTGTTTTGCCTTTAAACACCCTTCATGTATCCCTCCACCATGAATAGATTAAAATTAATCGATTTCTGTTTGGGATGATACCAACACTTTAGCACAAAACTACTGTAAAACAGTGTTTAAGACATCAGGCTGAGTATTCATAACAATTTTATATAAGAACGTTCTGTGAGGGAGCTTTCATAGGTGGCACCTTTCATAGGTGGCATCACTGTGAACAATTCTGACTCTGTAAGTTTCTCTAGAACGAAACATTTCACACCAAACCACTCTGAATAACTTGTTTATATCTTAACCATTTATTTATACAGAAATTTAGAAAAAATGGTGGAGTTCCTCTTTAAGAAATGTGCTATAGTTATTTTTTCCGCATTCACAAAATACATAAAAGGATTACAAATGCAGTGCTAAAACAGCATAGTGGAAATTATGACACACAAAATACTGGTTTCACTTTGTTGAATACAAAAGAAATTTATTGAAAATCAAGTACATTGCTGAGGAGTTCTGACAAGATTACAAAAAAGCTATTAAAATCAGATAAAATAATAACATTCATAGATTAGACATAAATAAAAGGCATAATGCACTATACCTTCAGATGTTATGTAGATGCATTATGTTCTGATAGTCTCATTTACATACTTACAAGAAGAGAAATCTTTGGCGGATTTTCTGCATTGGAAAATAGTGAGGATCAAAGCAGGGTATTAAATATGCTACTATTCAACCTATACAGAGCTATAAAGACTAAGCGCTGGTTTAACTGAACATGAATGTAGGAATTTCCAAAATGCACTGTTTAGAGGGTTGAATATTAAACTAGTATGTAAAAGTGCATGGATGCTACTTCAAGTAATACAGGATTAAACTGTTTGAGCAAACGTAACACAGGGTCAACACTGATACCCTGAAATGACACCAATCTTCTTGTAGTTTTCCAGAATTGATAAAGTCACCAGTCAGCCATGACATTAAAACCAGCTCCTTGTTTCTACACTCATTGTCCATTTTATCAGCTCCACTTACTATATAGGTGCACTTTGTAGTTCTACAGTTACAGACTGTAGTCCATCTGTTTCTCTGCATACTTTGTTAGCCCCCTTTTACCCTGTTCTTCAGTGGTCAGGACCCCCACAGGACCACCACAGAGCAGGCATTATTTGGGTGGTGGATCATTCTCAGACTGCAGTAACACTGACATGGTGGTGGTGGTGGTGTGTTAGTGTGTGTTGTGCTGGTATGGGTGGATCAGACACAGCAGTGTAGTAAAGTGTAATTGGTCATCCAAAAAGTGTTGGTCATCCTCTAGTCCTTCATCAGTGGTCACAGGACACTGCCCACAGGACGCTGCTGGCTGGATATTTTTGGTTGGTGGACTATTCTCAGTCCAGCAGTGACAATGAGGTGTTTAAAAACTCCAGCAGCACTGCTGTGTCTGATCCACTCAGACCAGCACAACACACACTAACACACCACCACTACATCAGTGTTACTGCAGTGCTGAGAATGATCCACCACCCAAATAGTACCTGGTCTGTGAGGGTCCTGACCATTGAAAATGAAAAAGGAGTTGGTTTTAAGGTTATGGCTGATTAATGAATATCACACTTAAAGCACACTGCATGTGCTAACCAGTACATTTTCTCAGGTCTGCTGAAGACCTGCTGGTGTTTAATGTAGATCCATTACTTTTTGTCTCTTCCAGAGACTTTGTATGAGAGGAAACAGCTTCCTGCATAGCTGTAAAACAAACGTCAGCTGCGTTAGTCAGCAAAAATGTCTGCTAATGTAAAGGAAACAGTACTAAGAAAGAATATAAAGTACTTGAATACTTACATTTTAGTCTATACTGGGTTCTTTCTAAACACCAATGTACAGACATGCAAATGAAGAGAGAAAAGAGTGAAAATGGATTTTTTCATCAAGATCAAATAATAAAATATCTCCTTTTATACCTAAGAACACAACTGTAGTGTTGATTGAAAGTTTAGATTCTGCACTTTTAAGCTATGAGTGAGACATAATTTGGACGCAATTTTTTTGTTTGTGTTTCGTTTTTCACCCAATTTTCTCCGTAATATTTTAGTAATTTTAGTCAGGGCTAGTTTCCACCCATTAGCTAGGTCTCCCTCATCACGTGGTCCTACGAGGCTGGAAGGATGAAGGCTAGCATGTGATCATGAGTCATGTGAAGCACCAAAGCATCTTTTCGGGATGCCTCTAACGCAACATAATTGGGCAGCTCAACACGCATGGGGGAGAGCACTAACTGCTGATTGTGTTCCATCAGCTAACAGACGCCCACAAATCTGGGGCCAGTTATGCTCTCATGGGGTGGATCTCAAAACCTTAATTCACATCTCCTCAATTTCTCTCTCTTCTGTCCTTCAGCCCATGACCCAGAAATTAATCAGAAACCACCATCTTTAAGGAAGTATCAATTCTTTAAATGCACTTGGAGGAATCGAGGAGAGGGGAGGCTTTCAGAGCAAGGAAAGCTTTTTTGCTGTAGTAAGTAGGTCTTTGATAAAACTTCTCTGCCACCTCCGTTTTTGTTGAATGATTTCAGTTAATGGGACGATACTGTGAAAGTTTGGTGACCGTTAATTAAATTGTAGATGCATCTGAATGTCAATAAATCATGATTGTGTGAAAAGTCCATTGTTTATTATGGGCAGATCATTTTAGCCCAGTAACAGGCGATGAAAGTGACAACAGAGTGAAGGACATCTCAATTGGTAAACACTTTGATTCCTCTGTCCTTGCATCTCATCTAGGGCTGGGCAGTATTTCAATATATATCATTGTTGTGATAAACTATGTCACAATACAATACAATATTCTTTTCTGAATGTATCGTGCATATCGTCAGCACTTGTAGAACACTGACCAACTGCATGATTCATTATAAACAGAGCAATATTAGTCCCGTTTATATAAATCTGGAATATAAATCTTTGTATTCACAGTTTTTGATAGCATTTTTAAAATTATAGCGCTACTGGTTCTTTTTTCACAGTTCTAACTGATCAGATAAATATCGTGACATATCGTGTATCATGAAAATTTCTTGAAATATCGCAATATTATACTTTTGCCATATCGCCCACCTCTAACCTCATCCTTGCAGCTCTTCCTCCCAACCTCACGAAAGGAGGATGAACAACTGAAGATAAGAGATCCACCCATGGACTACCTGCCACCAATGGGTATGGCATCGCCTGACAATAGGGTCAGCGCTTAGACAGTTAGACAGGCCACTCGGGAGCCCCACGGCTTGTGACTTCCAAGGTTTAATGTAGTGTTATGTTCAGCCAGCTGAATAATAATGTAATAGTGGAGCACAGAAGTGGTTACATACAGGAGATGAACTGGGAAGTTCTTTGGGCGGCTCAGCTCTGTCACCTGGGTGAATGGTCCTGTTTTTTGCCAGACTTTGAAGAACTGTCAAAGAAAAGGTGATGGCATAAACAAAGAGAATCCAATGTTGAATTGCAGAAAAGATCAACTACAAAAGGTTTAACACCTATTTAAATAAAATAAAACTCCGCTTTATTTTATTTTCCTCAAAGCTAAAATAACCCTTTACCTTCTCTTGTGACAGATTCTGCAGCCGTCATGGCCTTCCCGCTAAGATTGCTGACCATGTTGTCCACAGTGGCCTCATGCCTTAGGAAAAATGGCCGCACCACATGCCTGTACAGCACCTGAGAGCCATTCCAGGAGAACGGGGCCATGCACCACAACAAGAACAGGCACTGGCAACACGCAAAAGACAGGGTGAGTGGAGGGATGGATGGATGGATGGATGGAAAAGGGGTTTTAATATTGCAAGCAATGTAGAACATTCTTCGTCAAACAGCATATCAGTTCATAAACCTTGTTTTGCATCTAGACACTTCACAAAGACTGATTATTATGAAGATGCTAGCAAGTTAAAGGTGTGGTACAGTGACACTGCACACACAGCACACTCACCTTGAACACATAGTAGAAAGGAAACCAGTAGAGGAAGATATCAGAGAAGAATTCACCCACACCAAAGAATCCATACACCACCCAGTAAGTTAGCCACTGTGTGTCATCGTCTTTGTTTGGACTTTCGATAGCCTTTATACTATAATAGAGATTCAGTACAACAAATAGACAACAGCATATAAATAAGCAGAAACAAAATGCGAGACTAAAGTGTTCCCAGCAATTAAGAATCGTCTTATTTACAGAAAATATTCTAAGAAGTCAATATCACACAATAGGGGTGCACCGATATAGGAACTGTGGGCTGATGCTGATATATGACGGTTTTCATTGACACATCTGCCGACACAAATAATAAACCTTTATAAAATGTCATCTACCTGGATTAGCAGTATGAAAAAATTTAACATTCATTTATAATGGGTTACAAATGCTCTTTATACATTTTCTTTTTAATGGAACAGGGCATTTTCTGAATTAAAGGGCCCAAATGCTACATTTTTCTTGTATTTTATGTTTCTCCCTGAGCTCGGTATAATTTTATGTACCAAAAGTTGTCATAGTTCATTTTTACATGACTATTTTCCAACCTTTTTCCATTGCTTAGTATTAAACATGCTGTTTTTCTTACTGCATCTTTTTCTGTTAACAAAATTGGTTTCCATTAATAACATTTGTTGTAACAATAGTTATTATTCAATTAAATATGACAATTTTCCAATGTTTATCCCTCAGATTTTAATAGGCTGCATTTGTTACTGTGCCTTTAAGACTGATATTTGTAAAAGAGCTCTGTTCTGATTGGCTGTCCTGTATTGTGTCTCATTTAAAAAGCAGTCCAGTCAGAAACGCCACTTATAACTTCAGTGTGAATGAGCAGAGCCGAACTGCTGCAGTCTGAAATCTGCTGGTTCTCATGAAATCATAGAAACAATTCAAACCAGGCTGTTGATGTAACACAGTTTACAGATATGGACTCTACAGACTGTGGAGTGAGCATGTTTTGAAACTCTGTCATGTTTACATTCTACACCGAACGCTTTTATTTAAAAAAAAATGGGGAAAATTCAGTTTTCCTCAATATGGGCCCTTTAAAGTCTGATTTAGTCTGATGAAGACTGATAATTCTTGTTTTTGCTTGTCTAAACTGTAATTTTGCTTTGTTTGATTTGAATCACAGTTAAATAAAACCAGTTTAACCGCAGTTTAACATTTTTAATATTAACTGACAATATTTTATCAATGTGGAGGACTGAACTGACTGTAGAATTATAAACACCTACGAGAAATATGCAGGATAAACGAAGCCAATCAGGTTGCAGAGCAGAGAGGCTCCATATCCAAACAACAAGTACAGTCCAGTTGCAGAAACAGCTCCTGTGAACATAATAATAATAATAATAATAAAGCACATTGTAATGATACAAAGCCAATTTTATTTCTTTATGCAGGGGTTATAGTAATAGTTCTAAATGATGACAGATGTGAAGACAGACCTGTGTATAAAGCAAATAAATAAAAACACCTTCAGCATGTTTGAGATGTGCAGTGTAGTCAGTAAGTAATTGGACAGTGACATTGTTTTGGGATTTCTTTTGGCTCTGTACTCCAGCACATTCGATCTGCATGTTCATGTACAAAATAAAAGACCTCCCCACCCATTGATCCCCTACGCCCCACCCTCCTGATAGTATATTAAAAGTCATAAAGGTGGGAGAACCATTCCCTTTAATACAGAATGCTTGAAGAACCATCTTTCTAAGATTGTACACTCTTCATTTTTTTTTCAAAATGGTTCTACATAGAACTATATACAACACATTCTCCATCAATGTGAAGAACCACTTCACCATGCAAGCCATTTAAACATGAAATTGTTCTATATAGAACCATTCCTTTTAATAAAGAATGCTTGAAGAACAATCTTTTTTGGGACTGTACACTTGTATACATTTACACATGGTTCTTCAAGGGTTCTTTAGTAAAGAAAACGGGTCTATATAAAACCATGAACACTCCAAGAACCCTTTGCATGATTAAAGGGTTCTTTGCATTTTTGAAGTGTTCTTCAGATTGATGGAGAATATGCTATATAGTTTCTATATAGAACCTTTTTGAAAAGGGTTCTTTTACTGTTATGAAATCAACCTTGTTCAATAAAAGAACCCTTTTTGGTGCTATACAGAACCATGTACAACACATTCTCCAACAATCTGAAGAACCATTTCACCATGCAGAGAACCATTTAATCATGAAAAGGGTTCTTTGAGTGTTCCGGGTTCTATATAGAACCATTTTCTTTACTAATGAACCCTTAAAGAACCATCTTTTTAAGAGTGTAGTTATACTGTAGATGAATCTAACAGTAACCATTTGAGTTTTTATTTAAATTACAATGTAAATTACAATCAGAAAAGCTCAGAAAGGAAAAGTAACACTTCAAACAGACATTATAGACATTAAAAAAGTTATTTCTACTTGAGTATTTATATCTAAAGTAACAATATGTCTACATTTGGAAGGTTTGAGGCTTCTGTTACTGCCTAACAGGCTGCTGTTTATTCAGATTGAGCTCCACTGACAGACGGCATAAATAAAGACGCACAGCAAGCCGGTAAGAACCTGATTACTTGTCCACCTGTTGCTCAGAGGATTAGCACTGTTGTCTGTTGTCCTGCCTCTGTCATTCCTTCCCTTTATATCTCTCTGTCACAAGTAACGGGAAGACCAGCTCAACTTTCTTTAACCTGAATAAATCCAACTTACCTATTGCGAGATAACGCTTCTTAATTCCAGTTTTTTCCTCGATTTTGTTGAGGCAGTCCGTTACGATGTTCTTCTCATTCAGAAAAGCCTCGACGCGTTCTTTTATCTTGGTAAAAATGGAGAACATGGCGCTTTGTATGCTTAGAATAGCAAATCTTATCTTACGGCATTAAATGCATGAGCATGAATGCAGACATGAGCAGCAGGCAGGCTAACGCCTGAGGTTTCGCTGACATGCCAAGGTTCGATTTTCATCCACTCAATCAGCTTTGTGAACAGGGGAAGGATCAACAACCATCAGCCTGCAGGACTGACAGAGCAGGAACCAATCAGAGAGCAGTGCGTGTCTGCATCATGGCTTTAAGAAGAATGACGAACTTCAGGAGACAACCTGGAGCACGACACCAGTCTAAGCAGTTTGTATGATGCTCACAGTGTTAAAAACAGATGTCTTCTCAAAAAGAGCTGCAAATTCTACATTTTTTAATATGACCGACTAGATGTGAGTAATTGTCAGTATTGCATAGGCACCCTTTATTTATTTCATTTTTTTTTCAAAATGGCCATTAAGTACAAGTTGTTCTTTTTTAAAGAGATATTTCTGAGGAGCTAATCCACTTAAGGATGAGGATTAAACAGCGTGTAAGGAAAATAACAGGAGTTTCCAAAACTGACTAAATGATTCAGCAAAAATGGGATTCCTCACAAGACCCAGTACACCAAACTGTCACCATCAGATAAACAGCACTTAAAGCGATCATCTTTGAGAGAGAGGAGAAAATCAAGCTGCTTCAGATCTGAAAACATCCACAGCTGTTTCTGTCCATCTTCTGCTGTGAGAAGACAACTGAACACTACGAGTCTGAAACTATTAAGAAGCTAACTGTCAAGAAGCTATTACTGAGAAAAGAAAATGGACAAAAAAGGATCTGGGCCACCCCAGAGTTCAGACCTCAACATCACTGAATGTGTTTGGGATGACTGGATCGTGAAAAGCATAAAATGCAGCCAACTTCTGAGACTGAACTTTGGAGGTGTGGAAAAATATCCCTGCAGATTTTGTCAAAAAACTGAAAGCAAGGCTCCTGAAAAGAATGAGTAAAGTAAAACAAAGTGGACACACTAAATACTTAAAAGTATGTTCAGTTTAGTTGTTGAGACTTCTGTATATATATATGTGTGTGTGTGTGTGTGTGTGTGTGTGTGTGTGTATCAGCATTGATAGATATGTGCATGAAAAATTTTGGATACTGATCAGTGCATCCCCACAATATGTCATTGATTTCCATTGAGATGAAGTGTGTAATGTGCAGTGTAGAAGTGAATGAAATTGCAAGGCTACAGTAATAACAACAGAACTGTAAAATATATTAGAAATGAAAACATTCCTAAATATATTAGAAAGTGTTATAAAATGCTTTCCTACATGTAGAAAGTGCTGTAAAATACAGTATAGGCTTACAAATGTGTGCTTTATTTTTGTTTACAGGACACTTTTCCACCTCAGTCCATCTTAAATGAGCTCAGGCCCAGAGAAGGCGGCAGCGTTTCTGGATCCTGTTTATATATGGATTCTACTTTGCATGGTAGAGCTTTAAATTGCATTTGTGGTTGCAGCGACTAACTGTGTTCACAGACAATGGTTTTCAGAAGTGTTCCTGAGGCCACGCAGTGATTTCCACTCCAGAATCATGTATGTTTTTAATGCAGTGCTACCTGAGGGCCCAAAGATCAAAGGCAACCAAAATTGTTTTTTGGCCTTGTCCCTTGCATACAGATTTCTCCAGATTGTCTGAATCTTTTAATGATATTATGTACCGTAGATGATGAAATCCCCAAGTTCTTTGCTATTTTATGTTGTGAAACGTTATTCTTGAATTGTTGCACTATTTGCTCATGCAGTCTTTTACAGAGTGGTGAACCCCTCATCATCTTTACTTCTGAAAGACTCTCTGAGATGCTCTTTTTATAACCAATCAAAATATATAAAACAACATGTAGATCAGACTAAGAATTTTATTGAGACAATGAAAAAAATGCCATTGTAATAGACAACAAATGTGTATGATATTATCATTCCTGTTAATAATGCTATTTTTTTTGTGTGTGTGTTTTATTATTGGCATATAGAGCTTGAGGTGCCAATATGATAAGGGTTTGCTGACCCCTCCCCCACTTGTCAGAACGAATTTGCACCTCTCAAACTCAGTAATTATGTTAATTAATATTTTCCTTTTAAATTAAATACTGTCACAATGACCATGACTTATACTATAGTTATTATGGTATTTAATAAAAGAACACTGAATCTGACAAGGAACGCATTGTATTCCTCTGTATGTGGGAAAATGTATGTCTGTATGTGTTTTTGAGTAAATGCACCTCAGGTTATAACTAGGAGAGTAACGTCAGGCAGGTATTTTGAATACCTTCCTAACAAGCCGTCACTTGCCTTTTCCTCAGAAATGAGGAACTGAAGAGACCATGTCGGGTTATGCTGAAAACGTTATCCTTTTTTTCCAATATAGATGAAAGAAACAGCAGTAATGGGAGCTTACAAAGCCACTAAGTACACTTTATTTGTTTGCTGTTACATATTCTGGGTAAGTCACTTTATACTGTCTATGGTGTTGTCTGTGGTGTGGTTGTCCATGGTGTAGTTTGTAGTCGGGCAAGTATGAAAAGTATCTGGCGAGATTTAAAGTAATGAATTAAAATGCTCTGTTTATGGCAGTTTAACGCTTTTATCCTAAAACACAAAAATGTCTTATTTCTCAAGGTGGCCAGTGGTGTCCTGCTTGCTGTTGGCATCTATGCTAAAATTGCCAAAGAAAAAGGTACTGAACTCCATCTCGTTCATCACAAGAACTACTTTGGTCAGGCTTTCTTTTCTGTTGCTCCATGTACATATTCAGCATTGTGGTTATGAGGGTGAACGCTGTGGTGATGTTGCAGATGTGGTGGACACTCTGACGACTGACCCGGCTCTACTGCTGCTCACTGTGGGCTCCCTCATGTTCATTATAACGTTCCTTGGCTGTTTTGGAGCGCTGAGGGATACAGCCATACTACTGAAAATGGTAACTCAGCTCAGACTTGCTCGATTAAGCTGGTTATAGATGATATATTTCAATAAAAATACTATAAGGTGAGAAAATACTGAATCAGTTTCTTAAAAAAAACAGGTCATTTTGGTATCCTCACTTTATTATGCAGTTAAATAAAGAAAAAATATGCATGTGATGACTTGGACAGTTCTTTTTTCTTTTGTTTTGAATTTAAAGCTGCATTAGCTGAATTAAGATCACACACAGGCTCAAAAAGAAGGTCCAACTCAATGTTTAGGTCTCAAATGCAAAGTCAACATTATACTGATGTAGATATGGTAACAATAGCAGATCATTCACTCACCTCCTCAGAAGACATGTCCTTTATCCAAGTTTTGACTGGAAGTTCTCTTTGAATTCTCTTTCTCAATGTGCTTCTGGGGGTCAGAAGCACAACCGACGTTCCATATGTTATGTGCAATTTCACATGTCCACCAGAGAGGCCTCCAAATCCCCAAATCTTACATGGTGCTGCTTTATCTTAGGAATTTTCTATTTTTTGATTGCCTGTAATTTTTATGAGTGCTTGTGGGTCAGTTAGTTCTAGATATTAATATTAAACTTTCATTATTTAAAAAAAAAATCTTTTTTTTCTGTTCTCAGTTTTTAGGAATTTTACTGGTCATTCTTCTGCTGCAAATCGCTGCTGCTGTTTTGGGATTTATCTTCTCAGACATGGTAACAATAAATATAACTCTAAATTATATTTTATTATTATGTTACTTATTATTTTTTAAATTCATCATTTGACGTACACTCAAAAAATAAGGGTTCCTTAGAGGTTCTTGGCTTGGATATATGGTTCTAGAAAAAAAACTTTCAGTACAGAACCTTTACATTATGTGGAGATTCTTTGAACTTTAAAAAGGTTCGTCATCCTCATATCTCATTTACATGTATGTTTCTTGAAAGAATGATCCGTTTTAAAAAAGTGCTTCATTTATTTTTAACAGTGTATAAACAGTCATACACAAAAGTTTGGGCACCCCTGGTGAAAATAAGTCACAACATCCTGTACAGAGACTTCTGCACATGTTAATACACAATTACTGTTTATTTGCTGAATTTAACATATTGAGTAAAAATAATAAAACATAAATTGTGGCCTGTGTGAAAGTTATAGCACATCTTATATTTTGTATTTTATATTTTATTTTTTGGAATATGTTCAACTCAGCAAATTGTGCACTGAAATTTATTTATAGAGGACGTCTTAACTTATTCTCACTTAGAAAATCAACAAAACGTCATTTGACCAGGGGTGCCGAAACTTTTGCACACAGCTGCGGAACTTATTGAGTATGTCTCTTGTCCTCTCCTAGGTTTTAGAGAGGACTGATCTGTTAATGAAGAAAGCCATTGTACTCTATCGAGAGGACATGGACCTAGAAAATGTGATCGACTTTGTGCAGAAAAAGGTAAAAGAATTTTTTTTTGTTCATTCAAGAACATAAATAAAGCTTCTTACCTGGAATCAACTGATTTATGTCCCCCTTTATTTGAATATTGCTGGTGAATGTTGGCTTTTCTGTTGCAGTTCCTGTGTTGCGGAGTGGACGAATACTCAGACTGGTCTCAGAACGCCTATTTTAACTGCACTGAGAAAAACCCCAGTCTGGAAGCATGTGGAGTTCCTTTCTCCTGCTGCGTACGCCAACGAAATGAGGTCAGACACCAGACAAAGTGAAATTCTTTACTCAGAATTTTATCCAAGAAAAACATTTATCTTGGCAGTAATTGCTGTTGTTCCAGAAAAATATTAAATAGCATTAAAATAAATACAAACAACTACAAATACATTAAAACAATATGTTATTTTTGTGTTTTGTTTAATGTTATTGACACATTGATTAGAAGAACTAGTGCTATGTAAGTCAGTGACAGTCCAGTAGGTTGAATGCACACAGATCACTTCCATATTTGCATATAGCTGCCATACGGCAACAAATTCACTTTACCATTTTACAAAAAACTGGTCACATCTAAACTGGTTCTGATGATGAAAATTAAAATTAAAAGTAAACCTACCCCAGATAGTATTTCATTTTGTGTCTTGAAGGAATTTTGCCTAAATATCAAACTATTAGTCAACTTTCGGAGCCCTCAGGTCATGACCTTCTCAGTGTCAAGTGTCCATGGAAAAAGGGGTTGCAAACAAGATTTTTTGGTCATGTGATGTTATCAAGTGTTTGTCTTTTCAAAGTAAAAGACCATTTTACTACAATTAAACAGTAAAACATAGATTTTATATTACTGCCTTTAGGAAAATTGAGAAAGTTATTGTTGCCATATGGCAACACCATGCAATAAAGGGTTAAGTTAAAATAAAATGTTTATGTGTGTGTATATATATATTCTATAATAAAGATTGCAGCTCTTGTGATTTGAAAATTGCAATCTTTCAGTCCCAATTATTATATTATATTTCTGTCATTGGTTATCATCATCTAAGTACTTCTGTCCAATGACAGACTGATTTCTTTTCTTTGTTCAGTATTTATTATTGTATATTCATTGTCAAATCTTTATTTATTTTTTTTTCCTATTGCTCATGTTCTATTATTCTTTTGCCACCCAGCGTCAGTCAGAGGAGGATGAGTTCCCCTTTTGAGTCTTGGTTCCTCTCAAGGTTTCTTTCTCTTGCTCTTAGGACGTTTTCCATGCTTGTTCACTTTGGGCTTGGACCTGGATTTCTGTAAAGCTGCTTTGTGACAATGCCTGTTGTAGTTTGAGTTGAAGTGAATTGAAAATAGCTGAAATCTGTTTTTCTCAGTGCAGAAACATTACTGAGGTTTTGTAACAGTAGTTGTGCTATTGCTTTTTCAGACTGTGTTTAACTCCATGTGTGGCTATAAGACTCAGAGCATGGTGGAATCATCAGTCAGGGAGCGTATCTACACCAACGGCTGCCTGACGAAGATCGTCCTGTGGGGGAAGCATAATCTTCTGCTGGTGGGAGGGATGAGCATCAGCTTACTTTGTCTTGAGGTGGGCTTAATGCATTTTCTTATTCATTTTGCCTATTTTCCTCTGTTGATTCATAAAGATGGTCTTTTATGATCTGCAGTCACCTTAAAAGGCCCTTTTTCTAAGTTGCTTTTCCCCTGCCTGGAGTCCATTCACAAGGTTTATGTGGTTCTATGTATCAGTAATAATTCACTTTTACATGACCATTTCTCTTTATCGTTTAGAATTAAACAGGCTGTTTTTGTTAATGTGCCTTTAAGACTGATATCCAGTCACTGAGGACTTTATTAGGCACACCTACTCATTCATGCAGTTATCTAATTGGCCAGTCGTGTGGCAACAGTGCACCACATAAAATCATGCAGATGCAGGCCAGCAGCTTTAGGTAATGTTCACATCATCCATCAGAATGGGGAAGAATGTGATTTTAGTGATTTTGACTGTGGTGTCTTTGTTGGTGCCAGACGAACTGGTGTGAGTATTTCTATAACTGCTGATCCCCTGAGATTTTCATGCACAGAAGTTTCTAGTTACTCAGACTGGTGCAATAAAGAAAAAACAGCCAGTGAGCGTCAGTTCTGCAGACAGAAACACCTTATTGATGAGAGAGGTCAACAGGGAGTGGCCAGACTGGTTCAAGCTGACAGAAAGTCTATGGTAACTCAGATAATCTCTCTGTACGATTGTGATGAACAGAAAATCATCTCAGGATGCACAACATGTCAAACCTTGAGATGGATGGGCTACAACAGCAAAAGACCACATCAGGTTCCACTTCTGTCAACCAAGAACAGAAAGCAAACTCTGCAGTGGGCACAGGCTCACCAAAACTGGACAGTTGAAGCCTTGAAAAACAGCCTGGTCTGATGAATCTGGATTTCTGCTGAGAAAGGCTGGTGGAGGAGGTGTAATGATGTGGGGTTTGTTTTCTTGCCTGTTAATACCAATCAATCATCACTTGAGTATTGTTGCTGACCATGTGCATCCCTTCATGGCCACAATTTAGCCATCTTCTAATGACTACTTCCAGCATTCCAGATTCATGAACGTGACAAAGTTCAGTGTTCTTCAGTGGCCTTCCCAGTCACCAGATCTGAATCCAATAGAACACCTTTGGCATGTGGTAGAACTGGAGATTCTCAGCATGAAAGTGAAAAATCTGCAGGAGTTGCGATCATGTCAACATGGACCAGAATCTCAAAGGAATATTTCCAACGTCTTGTGGAATCCATACCATGAAGAATTAAGACTGTATTGAGAGCAAAGGGAGGCCCTTCCCAGTATTAGTATACCGAGTGGCCACTCTGCATTTTGCCTCATTCAAAAAGTAGTCTGCTGAAATGTCTATTAAATTGTTAAAGTTGGACTGAAATCTAGGGAAAGTAACCTTCAGCCACTCCTTTGAGATCTTTTGGATATTTTGGTAATTGCAAATGATACATTTGCTTTCCAACAGCAAAAAAGAGCATAATGATTAACCATTTTTGTTGTCCAAAGAGTGCAGTAACAAACACTCCTCATCACAATGAGCAGGCTAAAGTGCTATAAGGTAATACAGGTCCTGTTCTGTGTAAATGTGTTTTTGGTTGTGGCATCGCAACCCTAAAATAGCCCCCTTTTTAAAGTGGAACTGTACTGAATTTCAAAATTTCTGCATAATTTAATCATTGAAATTTAAAACCATTCAGAGTGGTTTGATGTGAAGCGTTACTTGTAGACAAGATTACCAGCTAAGATTTTACAGTGGTGGTGATAGGAACCAAGGCTCTCCATGTGTTCAACGCAAATATAACCATTTCTTCTCAATTTATATGTGTAATTTTAATAATAATCTGGGGACTATTTTGTTATTTCGTCCTCCATTAGAGATAAGAAAAAAAGTCTGTCTGAAAACTGTCATAAAACAGTGTCTCAGACATCATTGCATTCATAAAGATTTCATATAATAATGTTCTTTGAGGGAGCTTTTAGAGGCATTAAACACTACAGATGTCTGGTTCCTATCACCACCACTGTGAACAATTCTGACTCCATATGTTTCTCTGGAACAGGGCATTGCATGTCAGAATGACTGTTTACGTCTTAACAATTAAAGTATGCAAGGACAAATATCAGTGGAATTCCCCTTTAAGGCATTTTGTTCCTAATGAGAAGTCTTGTAGTGACTTGAATACACCACAGGAGTGGAACAACAAACAGCTAGAGAACTGATAATGTGCCAGATTATGCAGAAGGTTCATTTTCTTTTGATGTGATCTCTTACAGATAAAAAAAAACTCTTTAAAGAAACCTAATTATCCATTGTGGTCAAATAAGGTCTTAAGTGGGATGCAGAGGGAATTTTGGCTGATGCCTTTATCTGATAGTTTTCATGTAAATATCTGCTGACACCTATTTATTTATACAAAGAACCTGAGACGAAATCTACCTGACAGAGAAATGGAATGTTTAGGACAGGGATAAAATACAGACTTTTTAGCCAAGCGCTACCTAAACGTTCTGCTCTTCTGGAGCACAGTAAATACATCAAATATTGGTCTGAAATATCAGCCAACTCTAAAAATCTGTCCAACGCCAATGTTTAAGGTGCCCATATTCTACATTTTTCTAGTTTTTATTTTCACATTTACAACATTTGTTTCCATTAAAAAGTATGTGTGTGGTTTTATGCACCAAAAACAGTTATAATTCAGTTAAACACCAATCTTTATCCCTGGTATTGCGTCTCATTCAAAAAGCAGTGTAGGCTGAACCACACCTTATAACTTCAGTGTGACTGGATGTGGACATGGACATGGAGACACACAGACAGACAGACAGACCAACTGACTTTTACTGATCCCAAAGGGAAATTGCAGTGTTACAGTAGCAAGACATACAATTGCATATGAATAAAACTAAAACATGTATGGCAGAAATAAAACAGGGAGATATAGGTGAATGTATAAAATATTAAATATAATAACAATAATAATATTTTAAAAGTAGACAGATATTTTTAAATGTGTTACTTGTGACATCACAGAAACAGTGAATTCAAAACAGGCTCAATTTCCATATACAGACTGTACGGACTGGAGTTAACCAGTATATTTTGAAACTTTAACAATGTTTATGTACTACACACTATTTAAAAAAGTGAGGAAAAATTGGTTTTCCCTCATATGGACCCTTTAAGCAAATATCTGCCGATACTGATATAATTCCAAAATCATTATGCACCCCTTGTTATTAAACAAGTAGTATTGGTTTCAATCTTTCCCAGTTCATCTATTCTAACAAGCCGTGCTACAGTGCCTTCTATAGTTCACAAACGCAGTCACATCTATAACACAACAATCTGGTACAGTAGTATAACTGTAGCACAAATGGAAGAGACAGAGAATTATGTTCTTGTAATGGCTAAAATGTTTCTGATTTGAAAGTAGAGCTGGGCGATATGGCCAAAAATGTTATCACGATAAACCAAATCTATATTGTTCGATATCGATACATATCGCGATAAATGTCAAATCATTATTTCTTTCAGGTTTGAAGGCTGATTTTTGCTCCTGGGTGCTTAATTGCTGTTTTAAACTATCCTTTATGGTCGGAACACAACAAACACTCACCAAACAGTGGAACATTTCACAAATCTGTCATGGGAGAGTGGGAGAGAGTGTCTGCTGAGCTGTTTTTACCAGCTGGGAAAGCATGGCTATTTTGTAATAGTCATGATTTAAGAAAGAAAACAGATTATTTTTAGCTGGTGACGAGCGCTCGGCTACCCCGCTACAAATGACATTACAGTATTCAGACACCAGCTAGCGACGACTGGATATTCAATTGTAGTAGTTTAAGGGGTGAACCGCAAAATATCAACACCAGACAAACAGAGTCCTCCTTTTAGGTATGTTTAAACTGAAAGCGGTGCTTTTGTGTCGTGTTTGATCTACAGTCTCATTAATTCGCCGTGTCGTGCAGTGATGAAGCGCCGCTTTAAGTTAGCCAGCTGCTAAAAACAGCTAGCCTGGAAAACTAGCGCTCTCCCGCTCTCCAATGCCTCACAGCTTCCTCAGTTTACTTTCGTTTACATCAGGGCTGTAATTTACATGAACCCACTTCTTTCTTTCACTTTCGTTGCTTGGGAATGCATTCATACTTAAATGTGACTGTCCGAGCGCTGGAGTTGTGAGGATTGTGATTTAACGCTGCTAAAGCTGGTTAGGATGTACAGAAAGAGGTGAGTTCGCTGTAGGACAGTTACTCCACTGACCTCGTCACTCACACTCGGTCACAGGACAACAGATCGCCTGTCGCTCCGCTCAAACAGGGAATGTATAACTCCGCGTTTCAGCCGTTGCTAAAGACTCATCTTACTCGTGGCCCCCTCCCTCTCTAATCATGTAGAAAAACTCAGAAGTGCGCCCTCTCCTGGCGACAGCACAGTAGTGTCGCTTTCCTTGCAGTAGAAAACGCCACCAAGGCTTTCGCTGAACGTGGAAGTGTGAGAACGGTGTATTATATCGAACATTTATCGAACATGTCGTATCGCTCTATCGAGGAAAAGTTATATCGCGATAATTATCGTTATCGTTTTATCGCCCAGCCCTATTTGAAAGCACTTATTACTCTCTAATATGTCATCATAGTGCATCACACTGTGAGCACTGGAAGCTATAATGATGCTACTTGACCTAATAATGTGATTTTTAATTCCTCTGTCTCTCAGATATGTATGGTCGCACTGGCAGCCGTTCAGCTTGGTCAAATCCAGAGAGTTCAGCAGAAGAAGATGAAGAGCGGTATACCACAAATGCGACGATAAACTCTAAACATGTTCTTTTACAACATGCCATATATGAAAAGGCAAATTAATTTATAATGAACGTATTTTATAAAACGTTTTATAATGTGAATGTAGTGATTTACTGTAGGTCAGGAATTTAAACAAGACTGTGATTAGCCCTTTATGTTAAAAGTATAAAACCAACATCATCATTAAAAATCATTTCTATCACTTTGAATTCTTATTTTGTAGTTCTATTCATATGTAAATGAGCACTAGTTTGCAGGGGCCACATCTGCACCAATAAATTAAACAACAATAACAATAAAATGATACTGAACATACTGTACAACCTGTTAAAATGTAATGTAATCTGTGAATTACTGCATGAAGAATGGTTTGAATTCTGGCTGTGATTAAAATCTGTTTGATGATAGAAACAAAATGATCAGATATAACAATAAAAAAACAGATTTTGTGTATCCCATTGATTTGTTTTTTTTTTCCTGTGACTGAGCCCTTTAAAATCTGACATCAGTAATGTCATTAATTATGAACCTATTACAACATCGTTATGCTTGTTCTTCATAGAACAACACATGAGTTGGATGACTTGGCCTGTTTTGTCTTGAACATGCTCATGAAGTTGAACTGAGCCGGATTGTAATCCCCTTTAAGGAAAGTGTGAGGGGGGTCCAGAGTCTTCTCTCGAGACGTCACACGATAGTGTGCCCTGAAGTTGCGTAGAGGGTTATAGCCTGGGGTCAGAGCATCTGGACAATGGAAGCCCTCCTTAATGTACGAGCCGAGCTGCGAGATGGCTATGAAGCCATCCTTGAAGGGCGTGATTTTGATGGCCGCAGCGTAGACGTACTGGATATACAGTAAAGACCCTGTAATGACATTTTATGATTGGAAACCAGATGAAATATAAAGTAAATGGAATTCATGTGTATATTTTAAAACGTGTGACTGTATACAGAGGGTTAATTTACATGTGAAAGTCACTGGTGCTTAGAATGAAAAGGCAAACTGCTTTTACTGTAGTGTTGAGTGATTACATGAGTTAAAAATGAGTTATCAGTAACTTTGTTTAGTGTATTAATGTAACTGTATACATGCCACTTGTGCAAGCCCAGATACACATTTAAACAGGTTGGTGGTGCTGGTGCTGCTTTGTGTCCTGCATAAATTTCAGCATCAACACTGAATTTCCATCAGCACAATCTTTGAAAATTCTACCAATGTTTTAAAATTTCTGCATAATTAAATTGTTAAGATGTAAAACATGTTTGATGTGAAATGCTCTGTTCTAAAGAAACTTGCCCATTCAGAAATTTTCAGTGGTGATGTTTGGAACCATACCAGACGAAGTGTTTAACGCTTCTAAAAGCTCATGTAAAATATTTATGAATACACCGTCTGATATAAACACTGCCTGAAACATTGATTTACGATAGTTTTAAAATAAGGTTTTGGACCAAAACGCATTTTTTAAAATCATGGCAGAGGGGTACAGGCAGGTTGTTGTAATTCTGGCCTGTTAGAACATCATTATGTTTGTTCCTCATAGAAGAACACGTGTTGGATGACTTGGCCTGTTTTGTCTTGAACATGCTCATAAAGTTGAACTGAGCTGGATTGTCCCCTTTAAGGAAAGTGTGAGGGGGGTCCAGAGTGTCCTCTCGAGACGTTATGCGATAGTGTGCCCTGAAGTTGCGAAGAGGGTTGTAGCCTGGGGTCAGAGCATCTGGACAATGGAAGCCCTCCTTAATGTAAGAGCCGAGCTGCGAGATGAATTGGTCCCCAAAGAAATTTTCTTTTTCAGATTGATTATTTTACCATCAACATTACATACAAAAAACTTAGAAGGCATGTGCAGGTTTTGCATAGTAAATAAAAGGGCTGTATTTGTGTTGTAGACATTGTGACCCCTGGTTCCTATCATAACCACTGTAAAGAAATCAGAGTTGTTCAGTTTCTCTAAAACAAACCATTTCACAAACCATTATGGAGAAATCTTGAAAATCCCATACTGTTATACACACACGTGAACAAATGTACATTACAGTGAAATCACTTTTCAGATTTTTTTCCATAATCATGTTTTTTAATAACTTTTACAGTGTATATTGAAATATAAGCTATTATAGGATATTTCAAGATGCTTTTATTTAAAATTTTAATATTATAAGTTTTGTGGAACACCAAAAAGTTATTAAACAATAAACAATATACTGCAATTATTTATTAATGTAAACCGTACCAACCTGTAGCCACATCCCAGACTTTGATGGTTTTGTCCCGAGAACCAGTGAACACATACTTGTCGTTAACAGAGAAAGCTGCACACATAACCCCCTCGAAGTAGAAGCCCTGGGTAATGAGAAGATACAGTTCTTAAAATTCTATTCTATAATTTCTAATGCAGGTCTTGAGTCAATTTTATAGAATCAGTTTACACACCAACTCATAGCTTGTTGCACGAGTGAACAAGCAGCATAAAAAAACCCAGAATGATTCACTGTTGAAAATGAAAGTCAACAATAAAATGAAACTTAAAATTAGAAAGTAACCGATTAAACAGATTTTCTTGAATTAACTCAACTTGAGGACACCAGCACTCAAACTTGGTAAATAATGTAACCAAATGTAACCAAAACCAAATTCCTTGTATGCATAAGCATACCTTGCCAATAAAGCTTGATTCTGATTCTGAATATAGAATTATTTATTTTTTTTATTATTTAACTCAATTTTTCCACTAGCTGGGACTACATCACATCATCTTATTAGACACTTTCTCTTCTTGTGTACTCACTTATGGATGGCTATGGCATTGCTGGGGTTCACAGTCTCCTGTTGGGGTGAAGGCTTAGTCCGTTGCACCACTCAGGAACACCAAAAGTTACTTTCATTTCATGTCGACAAACAACACACTGTAGAAAATAATTGTTGTTTTATCTTTGAAAAAGCAGTGAGGTCACATGTGGTTCAACTGTTTAATAATTCACCCCAACATCAGTAGACTGTGAATTTGAAGTCCAGCCAAGCCACAGCTGTCCACATCTGGAAGCCGAAGAGGAGAAAATGTCTAATAGGATTGTGTACTAGAAAGAGTCGCAGCTTGTGGGAAAATAAATAAAAAAATAAAGCAAATTCTGATTTATTTACAAAGCTGAGATGCAGAACTAGAACAGAGAGTTGGGAGAACTTTTGACTCAGCTCAGAAGTTTAAGTGAACTCTGTTGTCCTTATGTTGAGTTCACTTAAGAAAAGCTGTATAATCTGTTACTTTATCATTTTAAGTTGAGCTGACCTTATCTGTACAGTTTCGTTGATTGAAATTTTCAATCTTCAGCCTAACCTTTACATTTACCTTGTATTCCATGGTATGGTCCAGCAACAGTGGGCTCAAATTCCAGAGCTTCTGGACACAGTCCTCAGAGCCGATCAGAGCGTGTGTATCCCAGTTGCTCAAGGCTACGCAGGTGATTGCAGCTCCGTGGTGGTCCAGCTCTGCTGCTGTGGCGTTCTTAAAGTCGTAGACGGCCACCTCCCCGCCGAGAGTGCCGTACAGGAGCCTGCAGTCAGTCAGCAGAGCCATGGCAGATACCGGAGAGTGCAGCAGGGACAGAGAGTAGCTTTCAAACGGGCCCTCCACACAGGGGAAACTGTCCCGAGCCGTGATCTCGAACAAGCACACCGCGTCCACGTAAGAGACGGCCATCCTGTCCTCTCTGGGGCTGATGGCCATACTGCGCACCTCAGGCAGGCTCTCCGGAGGGGGGAGGCACAGGGTCTCCTGAGCGAAGGCTAAAGGGTAGATGAGGATGGTGCCAGTGCGAAGACCACAGAAGAGCAGCCGCTTCTGCTGAGCTAGCTCCATACAGCACACATCGGAGGATACTTCCATAGAGTCACTGGACATGCCTGAGGAATAACAGAACCTCTGGTTGGACCAGTGTTTTTGACCGAAATTAGCCTGTTTGTCAGTGTGCAGAAGAGCAATGCAATCACTTAATAGATTAGGTTCAAAAATGTTTATGAACTTAAAAAAAAAAAAACAAAGACTATTTTTAAAGGTGAATAACTAAAAATTGCAGTTATCTATTCACTTATTTATAGTAATTACTCAAACTAATCATAATTATCTATTTATATTGATTTTTTTTATTGTAATTACTCAAACTAATAATTATCTATTTATTTTTATTTTTCTATATATGTAATATATGTTTATGTATCTTTACTCAGTCTAATAATATTTAATTATTACTTTATCTTATGTTTTTATAATACTTTCTTGTTTAATAATGCTTACTTATTTATTAATATCTACATATAGTAATTACTTGATGTAATAATATGTAACTGTATTTATGATAACTAGTCAGTCTAATATCTCATTAATTCATCTCATTATTCATAGTGTTTCTTCTATCCAACAATATCATTGTTTATGCATAGTACCTTCTCAGTCTAGTAAAATATAGTAATAATATCTATTTGTTGTAAATTCTGTATCTAATATCTAATTATCTGTTTACAGTAATTACTCGGTCTAATCATGTCTTAATATCTAATAATATCCATTTGTCACTTATAATCAATCTATCAATATCTAGTAATTACTTAGTTGAACACTTTTTCGTTACAGTAATTTCCCTGTCAATACTGTTTACTTACCTAATAATACCTATTTATAGGAATTACTTGACATAATAATATCCAATTCATAGTATTCATAGTAATCTGTTCATCGAACAATACTTACTTAACTAGATCTAGTTATTTCACCATGTAGTAACACCTGATTATCTATTTAGTTATTGTTATTTCTCTATTTAATTATGTATTTATAGTAATTATTAAATCAAATAATATCTATTTTTTATTTATGAGAATTTCTCTATCTACCAGTATATAATTGTTCATTTATAGTAATTTCTCATTAAAGCATTAGTCTCAATATTTGATCACTGCTATGCAAACATAAGACATTCTGGATATTAATTTTATTATTTCATCATTCTCAGTGTTACACAGCTTTCTCATTCATTTTGGTATCATCTACAGCTCAGTTCCCCATACCAGACATATCTAAAATATACCATGTTTTACAGTGTCGTACTAATTATTCAAATCCTATGTAGTTGAATTCTAATAACATGAAAT